GTTTTTTAAATATAAAGTTGTTCTTTTTTAATTATTAACTCAGTTTTAAGTTTTTTATCTAATAATGTACTTAATTGACTTTTGTTTTCTGTTTCATATATTTTGTTTACCAATGTAATCTGTTTTGACTTTGTATATTGTCTAAGTGATTTTTTTTAAACATGGATTTGTGTAGCTGTAAGATTACTTATACATAAATAAATAAGTATTTTCGAAAGTTTTTGCAATTTATGGTGGCAGGTCTTCGGTAGCTGTTAACCACTTTAACAATACTGACAATATATAAATGTTAATATGCCAGTATAAAATTATGCAAAGTGCAAAGTACGCTGGTGAGAAAAAATACAATGACTCACAAACTTGTTTTGACCGCTAAGGAGATCGAAAGTTTTATTAATCCTATGTTTGTGCAAATATCAAGTTAACTTGCACAAGTTGAGCTAAAATATATTTGACCAAGACTGCTTCAATGTCGCTAAAACATAATATAAATAATGGTCAGCATCAGAATATGGTAAATTGCAGTCATCGATTCAATATACACCAACCTCTTATCGATTTGAGAGTTTTTTTGTAATAGTGTTTAATGTTGAATACTGATGTTATTTGCCAGAAATAATCTTCCAATTGAGTAATTTCGGCAGTAGGTACTTATTTATTTATTTTGTAATCCTAGCTGGATGGACATAAATTATCTATAACAAAAAATTAACATACTAAATGATCCTAATCCTTGAGATGGATTTGCTCCAGTTCAAACAATTTGTATGAGTCAAAACTTGACGATTAAAAAGAGTGGTGGAGAGTTTCTTGTCATTTCTTCTTTCCCGCTCTACGCCCTTGACTGTCGAACTGGTAGTAATTGTAAATTTAGAATCAATTTAACATCTTTTCTATCGACGTTCATAAGTGTACTTGTTTACCTATATGAATAAAGTTATTTTGAGTTTGAAAATCTTCTCGTAATTATTTCGTTACACATACGACGATAAAATACTGTACCTCAATAAAATTTAATCACCAGTACATTCCTTTATAAATATAATGTTAATAAGACCAATTATACAAGTGCGTTTTAACATTATGACTATGACATAGCTATGTATGGGTGGAGCACGCGTCGACCTTTTTTGCTGCCCACAACACACCTCCACATAAGTCTACCAGCATATTTTTTACGGCTCCCAATAAATATTCCTTGCACTTTTATTGTACACTAGCGGCCCATCACGGCGTGGCACGGGGGGACATTTATTTTTTAAACATTTTGTTGTATATATGTTCTCTAATATTGTGGAACATTTTTTTGTTCGATAGATATCTAGATATATAGATAGATAGATAATCAATAGTTTTCGCAGCGCATACGCTGAAAGATATTTTTTACACATTAGGTAACATTATTGTAGTTTTAGAAGGTTCTTTATTTTTTTTCTTGCAATTAAAATAGCCTATATTAATCAGTGACAATGTAGCATTCGAATGGTGAAAGAATTTTTTAAATAGGTCCAGTACTTTTTGAGCCAATTCGTTACAAACATACTTACATACAAATCCTTCCTCTTTATTATATTGGTATAGAAGTATAGATATAGGTATTCTTGTTTAGAATTGTCTCCTTAGATTAATCGAATAAATCTTGTAAAGTATTAACTTTACAAGATTTACTAGATTATCTAATCGGCGGCTAAAAATCTGTTTCGGCGATTACCTCTTCACCAGCGCAAAAATCTGCCAAAGCCAAATCATAAAATGACTAGGTACTTTACGACTGATTTGAGCGCGACCGCCGCTGTGTGAGTTCGGAAAGTGAGTTACAGAATCGCAAGGCTGGACAGATTTTTGCGCTGGTGAAGAGGTAATCGCCGAAACTGAAGCCTATTTTGAGGCTAAAGACAAATCGTAATACAAAACTGTAACTGTATGACCGCTATAATCGTTGTATTGCTCTCGAAAACAACTGTATTGAATAATCAAATCAAATTCTATCAAAAAAAATATTTTTTTCTGTTAGCCTACGAACTTTTCAGGCCATCTATACGTAATATACGATTATATTACTCCAAAAACAATTGGTTAAACAAATATTATGAAATCATTTGGATCAATTACAGTAATTTTATATAACCTGCGATAATTCAGCCGGCCTGAGGGTGAATGACCTCGTTCAATGGAGGCTGTGCTAAGATAGCGAACTTTCTTCGTCATTGCTCACAGCAAGTAAATAAAGACGCTAAAATTGTCTACGGATAATATATACATTTTATAAAAAATATTATTTTTTATAAAATCAGTATATTAGTGTACTTTGTAAGATTGTTAAGACGAGGTAGGAAACATCATCAGATTTTTTATGGGACATGGGGTGAACGGGCAGGCAGGAATGAAATGATTAACGCCGCCCATGGTCACCTGCATCGCCAAGAGACTTACAAGCTGAGATGCGGATCTTTAAGGAATGGTACGCTCTTTTCTTAGACACTAATGTTTTTTGATTTAAAAATACAGCCTTAATCACACACACAAGGTCCAAATACAACTATCTTGCTGCACAGATTCTTCATGTAATACACGTACTTTAGAACGGGGGCAAACGGGAGGAGGCTCACCTGATGTTAGAACCGCCGCCCATGGACACTCTCAATGCCAGAGGGCTCGGGTGCGTTGCCGGCCTTTTAAAAATTGGTACGCTCTTTTCTTGAAGGACCCTAAGTCGAATTGGTTCGGGAATACTTAGGGCAGCTGGTTCCACATAGTGGTGGTGCGGGCAAAAATGCCTGTGGGAAACGCTCAGTTGTGGAACGTCGGACGTCGAGGTGATACGGGTGGAATTTGTATTCTGCCTCGACGTCCGATATGAAACTCAGCTGCAGGTATTAATCCGAACAACTCCTCTGAACACTCTCCATGGTAAATGCGGTAGAAGATGAGAGTGACCCCACATCTCTACGCAAGCCAAAGGATCAAGCCGCTCGGAGAGGGATTGGTCGTCAACGATTCGAACCGCTCTGCGTTGTATACGAGTGGAAGGAGCTGGTACTGGGGAGCCCCGCCAGAGGTGAGAGCAGTACTCCATGTGGGGCCGAATTTGCGCTTTATATAGTTGCATGCGGTGGCCCGGAGTGAAGTACCGTCTCGCCTTGCTGAGCACACCAAGCTTTTGGAGGGCTAATTTAGCCTTCCTCCAAGTGACCGCGAAACTGAACGTCGCTCGATATGTCAACGCCAAGTATCCAATGCTGGCTGTGGCTTTAAGAAGAGTGTTTTCGAAAAGAGGAGTAGCGACAAAGGGTGTTTTTTTAGCGGAAAACGCGCAAACTTGTGTCTTTTGGGGTTAAATTGGACTAGGTTTTGTTGCCCCAATTGAGACTCACGAAGAGTTCAACTTCAGACACAAGTTGTCCGGTACTCATCAACAAGCGAGAAATACCTGCCCGGCCAGTGTAAAAGTATCCCCGTAGTCATCCGCGAGAATGTTGCTAGTTTCAACATATCATTGATATGAGAAGAAATAGGGTCGGGGATAGAACACAGCCTTGTGGGACCCCAGCGTTTACGGGTTTTAGGTCGGAACATGCTCCGTCGATGACGACCTTGATGCTCCGATGGCCAGAAAGCTGGAGATCCAATTGCGTAATTTCTCGGGAAGCCCATAGGCTGGAAGCTTCGAGAGCAGTGCTCTGTGCCACACCCGATCGAAGGCTTTCGCTAGTCCAAACTAACCGCTAGCGCCTCCCCTTGGACTCAATTGCCTCTGCCCATCTTGTGTAAGGTATACAAGGAGGTCACCAGCCGAGCGACCACGACGGAAGCCGTACTGAGAATCGCTAATCAGCTGGTGGCCCTCTAGATACCAGAGTGGTGTTAAAGTTTCATTTTTTGGAGAACAAGGAGGTTATAGCTTATTGGGCGATAGTTGGACGGATCAGAGCGATCGCCTTTTTAGGGATCGGATGTATCAAAGCGGTCTTCCAGCACTTCGGGACAGTGCCGAGCGAGTACAGGTACCGGAAAAGGCGCGTTAAGACCGGAGCCAACTCAGGGAGCACAAGTACGCAGCACATTGGGGGGATACCATCCGGCCCGCTCGACTTATGAATGTCCAAGGAAATAGTGCTTTGCGGACAGCACGTTGCCGGAATGTGATTTCCGGCATCGAAGAATCACACCGCGAAATGGTCGGTGGTGATCTCCTCGGTCATCCAGTCGAGTTAGACGCGAGAGACAGCCCAAAGGTCAGCCTTCTCCTTCGCAGTGTGGGCCAGAGAGTCATCCTCCTGTGCAGTGGCGGAATGGCGGGCTGACAAAATCCCTTGGACAGCTTTGGCGAGAGACCAGAAGGCTCGAGTCCCTGATGGGAGTAGGGCCAATCTCTCGCCAAATTGGAAGTGCTCTGACTTTGCCTTAGTGATTTCCCGTGGGACCTGGAGGCTGAGTTATAGTTTTTAAGTCGTGGAGGCAACGAGTTTGCCGCTTCCGCCCATGCCTTAAAGCATTCTCGCTTTGACGCGAGGCCGCCTTGCAAGAACGTTTAAACCAGGGCTGAGACTTGCCACCGATCGGCACCGCAGAAAATGGAATAAAGAGTTCCATGCCCTGCAGAACCACTTCGGCGACAGAGGCGGCGACGGAATCTGGAGCTTCCGGCGAAAAGCACATAGGCCCCAAGGTAGGACGCAAAGAAAGACCGCATCCGTCCCAATCTGCTGACTTATAGTGCCAAAACGGCGACAACCCATAAAGCGGGCCGTGAAGGGCGCGTAGATGGCACAGTACTCGGACCACACAATGATCTGATGAACCCAATGGCGGGTCAACAGAGACTTGATAGTTCTCCGGATGAGAAGTCAGCAGAAGGTCCAACAAAGAGGGTTTATGACCATCCACATCTGGTATTCGCGTAATCGCAGGGACCATTTGTGTCAGGGGTCGTAGGCTAAAGCAAAGTCGTGAAAGGATCTTCCCGCGTGATCGGTGGTTTCAGAGCCGAGCCAATCGGCATGGTGGGCGTTAAAATCGCCAAGTATCACGATTTCAGCGTAGGAACCCTTTCGAGCAGGGAATCTGTAGCCATTTGGATGTGGCTCAATGAGTCGGTCAGTTTCGGTATTTCCGCTATGGGACCTTACAGGCAGCGTAGAATCGCGGAGGTCATCGCAGTCTACGCGAGCCAGAGGTTAGATAGGTCCCTTCCTTCAAGCGTCCCGAGGCGACGAGAACAGTTATCCTCTCTGACGTACACGCAACTCAGCCGGGAAAATGAATGTTCCAATTTGTACCCCGGGTAGGATAGGGGTGGAAGGGGGAGTATCAGCCGGGAGGAGGTATCTGAGTCTCGGTAAGAAAGAGCAAGGCCGGCTTCGCAGTCTCTAGATGATAGTGGACAGCGTTATTTAGAATTAAGCCCCCTAACATTTGTGAAGTCCACGGCGAGGTGTGGACGGGGGTGCCTTTGTATAATTGCTCCGTTTGCCCCGAGGACATTACTATTTTTGTAGAGCGCAGAATTGCCCCCCAGAATACGAAGGGCAGCCGTGCGTCCACCACCGGGTGCTGAGTGTCCCGGTGGTGGACGCCAGAGGGGATTCTCCACCGCGAGCGCGTGTGGTACCCCCTTGGGGTAGATTCTGTTTTTTCTGCACCTTCATATTTCTTGTGTGGGGGGATGGGCTCCGGGAATCTCCCTCACCGCACGAAACGCGAGTACAAGAAGGCGAACCTTTTGCATCACTTCACGCCGGTTTTCTGAGAGACAGTGGTACTGCCCCGGTCGTGCCTGCCCATTTGGCTGAAGCCCGAAGGCAACAGCATGGCACTCCCACTAGGAAGGGGTTGACTGATTGCGTGATGAAATAACCTCTGTCACAGGTTATTTCACCAGTGGGCGATGGGGTCGTCACGTCCCGACGCCTAAAATACACACGCCTTTGTTTGAAGTCCGTCAATTTCTATCAACATTTTTGAGTGAAAGTCAGGCTTACGTAAACTTTGATATTTATAATATAACTAATCCTAGTGGATGGGAATTTTGAAGCGTTAATGAATTTTGTACTTTCAGAATTTCGCTTCTCACCTGTTAACTGTGACAACGCACGCGAGTTTAATTCGAAACTTAGCTTTCCATACTGCCAATAAAACATTTTTGGTGATGGAATTTACAAATCTGAAGGACGTTTATAACAAATGTATTAAAATGACTAAATTTCAAGTGTGAACAGAGAACTGAGCGTTTTGAAGCACTTTTGCCGCGCATAATTGTTTAAAAACAAAACGTATTGAAAACAAAAATTGTCACAATGCTGTCAGCGCACTCACGACTGTGGAGTCAACATCATATGTAAAATAAAGACTAAGTAAGTAACTACTATTCTTGAGGCACTGAGTTGATTCAATGCAACTATAGTAATAATCACAGGTGAGCGTTGGTAATGCATTTATTTAGTACTACTAGAAGATCCGTCTAGTGATCCTGTACACATGTCTTAAATACAAAAAATTCAAAATTCAAAAACAAACAAAAAGTATCTAATTGTAAATGATCTGAACCATTCTCGAATACTATTGGTTCAACCGTTTTTTAGGAGTTGAATTACAAACACAAAAGATTTCTTTACCTAAAAAACAAATGACGTTAAAAAAACAAAAGACATCATGTTTTGAAGCTGGAAACGAATTGTATTGGAAAATTAAATTATTTATGCTTGTTTTCTTGTTACATGTTTTTCATGTATCCGTTATTCGTTTAAACCTTCCCTGAACTTCCACAAATATTTCAAGATCAAATTAGCCAAATCGGTCCAGTCATTCTCGAGTTTTAGCAAGACAATTAAACAGAAATTCTATATATATAGATAGATAAAGAGACTCCACTTACCCGGTAATAAATACTTATTAAGTGGTAAGTATATATAAAACTAACGCAACTTGCGAAAGTAATTCCGAAGTAAGTTTATCGACAAATTCACATAATTCAATGTAAACTGAAATATGAACCCCGACGGTTAATATCACTCACAGTAAAAGTATAACTAATGTGTACTACAATAGGTATTATGCGACCATTCAGAGCCTTGCCTTAATAGGATTAGAATAAAATAATAAAGTGGTTATTTAATATTACAACTATTCTTGTATGGCTAAGAATGTAAAACGAAGAAACGAAGTTTTAAGATACCTTTAAATATAATTTAAAATTTCGTAATTAGTCGAAAAGGCAAATACAAAAACAGATTTTGCTTTAAAAATTTATGTCGTCATCACTTGATACAACAATTTCATAAAATAGCTGCTAACATCATGGAGTAATTGGACCCATATATAGTCATTAGAACTTAGAGTTTATCCGAATATGTAGAGAGCACTTAAAGATTAGTCTAAGACGCGCCATTTTTTAAATTTTAGGTTGCCTATTTTATCCTATTTTATGAAGATTTAATTGGTTAACATTCATTAGTGTACTGTGTAGTGAGGCGCGTCAAAAGAAGCGGTATTTAGGGCGAACGTCGGGCGGAAGCAAAAGAAAATCTATTTTGTATAAAGCAATTAGTGTAGAAACCGATTCTAGGCGTGGTAATGCACTGGTGCACTTTCATTTCATATCCGTGAAACTTTCATACAATTCGAAATTGACTAGTCTGAAAATTAGCCTCATGGTTGCAGCGACCGAAAATAACACAATAAAAATAGATTTTTGTGAATTTTCTAAAGAATAAAAAAAATATATACTTACCAGAATCTTACGCTTGCGTATCAATGTACGTTATGATTTCGCGTTATATTTCACTGAAATTTTTATAAATCGCGAATTGTATGTCGCTCGCGCAGATTCCGGTCGTATGGCGCCCGCCCGGGCGGATTGCCGACTGATGCGTCGCGCGCGCACCTCTGTGTTGCCAGTTAATAATTTATAACTTCCTAAACACATTTTCATAGTAAAATATTTTTAGAGATAATTAGATATTTATTAAAAGACTTAAATGCATTCATGACTGTCGAATAAATGTTCTAAATTTATAATAAACTTTCACCTTCGTAAGATCAAGCTGCTCACTGAACCAATTTTAATGACACATACACGTAATTTTACTTAAGTTATTTAATATTTACGTTCTTTAGGTCATTTAATATAGATTAATGAAATGATTGATAAATAACTTACATGCTATGAATTTAACTAGAATTAATATTATTAAAATAATCACACTCCGTAGGAATTGAGGAAAAGGCTTGAGCTGGTCACACAGACACTCATTGTTCGCCCATACAAATCAGTATACTCCGTCTCTACCTAACAAAAACGAATAGAAGGCAGAAGCAAAGCGACTATTCAAGCAATGACTAATATTTGATCTACATCGCGCTATGCAGCATTCTCCTAAGAAGTTGCAATAAAATTGGCATTTGCCTAACTTATTACCACCAACGCAGACAGCGAGTAAACATTGGTACATATACGTATTATTTCATAAATACATAAGTACAGTCAAGATACTAAACTCAAATCAACTGTTCAGTGTATTTTACAAATGTTCTAGTATGCTGTGAAATTTTTACCGCCCTTGCCTCTACAATTGTCATGTCCTGAAATACACTTTCTGCAATTACCCTTTTTTACTCATACAAAGTGTGAGCTGAGGGCGCAGAGATCGATTACTGGTTGGGGGTTTGGGCTAAATTAGTTGCAGGTCTCTGTTTGTAAAACATCAGAAAACCGTCATGCCGATAACCTTTCTGATTTCTATGAGATAGCAAAAAAAAATCGATTTCCCAATTTTCCGCCCTAGGCTCCAGTCTACTCAGCCTGTTGGTAAATCCGCCACTGCAACCACTAACTACTGGCAATTTATTAATAAATTGTGTATTAAAAATGTTATACTGAAGAGCCGCCAAAAAACTATGTAGATTTAACTTTTAATAATTTAGGTTATAAAATAAATGAAACTATTTAAAACCTTCTGCCTAGATTGCATACTTGGCATTGCCTACTTGTCTAGATGAATTATGTCGGGATACATTTGTAGAGTTCTCTCAAAAAACTTAGTTTTTTTTGGATTGTTGACACATGTAAAAGATTCTAATCGGCGTTTTAGAAGACTTTTCCGTTAAATTTGTTTCAAAAGTTGTATTTGCTGTATTTTAAGGTTTAAAATAAAGTTAGTTAAAAATTAAAATCATCACTTACGTAATATTATTTTATATTTTTGTTTAAATGCGTATCTCGTTTATGTATTGTGTGGTTGCATATATATATAAATAAATTAAATAAATCAGTGGCGCTACAAATGTATTAGGTCTCAGACTTCTGTATCTGTTTCATGATCATTTGTCTTCTAATAGGCAAGTTGATGATGAGCCTCCTGTGCCTGACCCACGCCGTCGACTTTTTGGTTTCCTGACGATTTTTTCCTTTACCGTTCGAGCGAATGATAAAATCTTTATTTATTTATACACAAAATTACACTACCCTTACAGTACCTAAACCAACACGATGATGTCGAAATTAAAAATAAAATATATATAGAACGCCCATTGGTTCACAGCCGGGGATCGAACCTGCGACTTTAGGGATGAGAATCGCACGGTGAAGCCACTAGGTCAACACTACTCATATATTAAAACTAGCAGTGGGAATACTGTAAATCAAATATAAAATATATATATAATAGATTTTATTTTTGAATTTAGTGCACGTATACAGTTTGCAATACATTTTTCGTAGCCAATGTTACAGGCAGCATCAACGAACCAAATACATAATCGTTATTAAACGATAATTAGAAACAATCGGATCAAGTGAATCGTATAAAAATTATAATATACATAAATCAAATTACAGTTTCAGCTAGTGTAGAAAACTAGTATCTATACTCATATTTAAGAACGATTAGTATTTTTGTATGATCGTAACGTCGTCGACTTTATTTATTCCAAAAAAATTAAAAATGTCCAGCAGTGCGAAGCAGGTCGCTTATACATGTAGTTGAGAGTTAAGACCCAAATAAAGACTGCATAAGGGAGCGTTCAAGTATTACGTAACGCAATTTTTGGAGATTATTGCATATGTCGAAAATTATATTAACAATAACGCGTAATTCAATCCCCGCCCCGCATCGTAACGTTTTACAAAAGGACCCCCCCCCTCCCAAAACTCGTTACGTAATACTTGAACGCTCCCTAATACACTGCTATACAATTATTATAAAACTTATATCTATAGAACTAAGGAACCTTATAAATTGAACTACTTAAAAACTAAAATTAAATACAACTGAAAATGAGCCGAAAGCTTTGGCTTGCTTTGTTAATATTGCAAGATTAAATTATTTAACTTTGACAAAATCATTATTGAATTGACAATTCATATTATAGTGCAGGATAAATAAGTTTTTTAGTTCAGCTTACTCGAGACTAATGGTAGGGGAGCCCAAGAGGGGATTTCGGGATTACTAAAGCGCGGCGTTTCTATATAGGGGGATACCTTGTACCCGGTTAAGACCTCCACAAAAATGGGCCCATATATAAGGCCGCGCGTGAAGGAGACAGGATCAGATTAGTAAAAAAAAATTGACCATCAGAAATTCCCGAGCGCGTCAGATTAAGGTAGGGTGAGTTAATTACATCCTAAAAAGTGTATATTCCACTAATCTGACAATTTGAGAGTGACGGAAAAAAGGGAGGGCAACAAAGTTGTAAAAAAACGTATCTCGACATCTCGAGCGTAGCTAATTTTTCTTTTATTTTGAAGGAAATAATTCCAGAATAAAAAAATATATAATCTGACGATTTCCGCAAGCCGAAATAACAAAAATTCGTCGATAAAGTTAAATGGTGAGTGCGTGATGCTACATTTCCTTAAACCGATCGGAATCTACTAAACGGCGTTCAAAATATTTCCCTCAAAATTACATTTCCTGTGAATTTGAACCGATTCGGACCGATAGATTTTGAGAAATTTTGAAAAATCTTAAAAAATAAGAAATATATTTTTTTAAGTGGTTTCTTTATCGATCAACTTCAAAAACTAATCCGCCTTTGAGCTTGAAAAACCACGTCGATGCACCAAGTGGTCAAAAGCGGTTGATTCGTTCGAGAGATATCGTACATGAAAGAAACCCGAAAAGTGTTTTTTCGGGATTACTCGAAATTTGTTCGATCTGGTTCGATTTGGTTCGATCAATTAAAATTGCAAAATTACTTATGAGAATGATAAAACTGCGTCGAATGCCGCCAACCGCGTGAAAATTGCTTGATCCATTCAAAAGTTATTGCGGTTTGAAAATTCCAAAAATAGGTTCTATGAAACTTCTATCAGACTTTCGAGCTGGGAGAGCTCAAATGCATAGAAATGTTATTTCTTTGAACTAGCGGCTCAAAATATCAATTTTAGCCCAGGAATGGAATTAGCGGGAAGTTGAGGGATGGCCCTTTAGGTGAACCGTTTTCTATTTTTTTTGGCAGATCAGGCGAATCCCTCTAGATAATCGTCAGATTATGAGACAGTACGTTTAGAACATAAAGATGAACCACATATATCTTATCTGACGCCTTGAGTATTTCAAAATTGCGATTTTTTTTTGCAAATTAAGAAAATGGCTGTGGTTTGCGTCCCATCGAAATCGTCAGATTAGTGAATGAGAGATTTTTTTGGTGCACTTAACACTCCCTTAGAAAATCTGACGCGCTCGATAATTTTTTTTTTTTTAATTTTCAACCCTTAAAACAACCACCCGCATCATGCAAACGATCAGATTAACATACGTACATTATTAAAAAACGTAGGGCATAGATGCTATCAATATCTGACGCGCTCGAGGATGTCCATGCAACAGTTTTTTTACATATTTAACTATCTATAGCCGTTCCCCACATGAAAGGATTTCATATAATTTTTTTTTTTTTTATCTAGCTTTGTCATAGGTCTCTACGACGCTGAGTAAATCCCCATTTAGCATCGTGGGCCCCTACATAAACGCTAATTAGAACTTCTGTGTGTCAAATACAAATTTTGATTCACATATGACATTCAGGAAACAATTACTAACATTTATATCAATCATAATATGAAATAATCAATATTTTGAAAGTTAATATAATTAACTCAATCTTCGTGCCTTCTCCATCTACACGACACTGGCGCCAAGTTGGCACAAATAAAAGCCATTAAAAAAAATTAACACAATGTAAACCTAATCAAGTAATAAATTTCAGTTTTAATTTTTTACATATGTATACTTAGAGATAATCAAATAAAACAGTCACGCTGATAGTAATTTAATATATGGTGAACTTATCAAACTGTGCAGGATGAGCCAAGAAGTGAAATGAATGAAGCTGAAAGTACCGAGGCATATGCAAAAATCACTAAATATGAATCTACTCCCTGTATTTAATGTGTATGAGATATATATGTTATTTTTAATTGCTTAGTAGACTATTCATGGGCAAGGCACATTATTCGAAACAAATGTTTTTCGTGTTAAGGTCACCCGGGGCGAAAGCAACTAAAAATTTATAAATTGGTACTTTGTCGTCCTCTACCATTAGCTACCTAATTATGATGGTTGTTTAAATGAACTTACTTTATTCCATGCCTTTCATTGAATAGTTCCGACATAAAGTACGTGAAAAATAGGCTTAAGTTATTGAATAATTTACATTCTTGTTGAATAAGAGCACTAAAAGTTACATTTACCCCACCTTGAGGCTAATGCAACTATCAGTTAAATGACCTTGTTGTAATCGTAATCTATACGTTTGGAATAAGGGTATATATAGTTTCACACTACAGGTATCTGAAATTGGTATCTAGGTGCTGGGAATAAGGCTCAGTTTCCAGAAAAATTAATTTAAACTTTTTATGGGGCGAATGCGACTGCCTCCCATACTTGCTAGTGTTGGACAGATACGTACTACTAAATTTATCGATAAATCTTCGTGAAAAAAAAATTCGATGAAAGGACCGAAAAATTATTAGTCTGATTTAAGGTAAAGAATTAAAATGCGATTCATTAAAAAATAAATCTTCATAGTAAAAGGTTTTAACATTTCTTATAATCAAATAAACATCTAAGGACAGTAAGTATAATAGATAACATGAAAGTAAGTACAAAAACGCAGTCTTGCTAAAGTTATTTTTTGGGAATTAACATCAACATTTTTGCTTAATGTCTAGCTGACTTAATAATATTGGCATTTAATAATGCCACATTATGTGAGTAATCATTAAACCTAGGATAATATTGATCAGTCCAGTAATTCTTACTGCCAATTTCTGAATTGAGAGATTCACTGGGCAGATGCGTAAGTATCGTTCTGTCTCTGCAGATTAACAAAATCGTAACTTTATGTAAAGGCTTTCATAGTTTTATAGTTTGAATGTATTTTGTGCACGCCTAATCTGCCTTTCAATAACACGTATTATTAAGTTTTCTATGTAAATAAATTCAATTAAATTATTAACAAAAACAATATATAAGTTTAAAAAAATACGTCACAGATACCAAGGTAAATATTTTATGCAAATAGATAGTGAACTTCACTTGTTGAAATATCGACACGGAACTTCACTAGTGATTTGATTTTTTCATACAAATACAATGGGGCTATTGCAACTGCAAAATAGTTGCAATTACCCATCTGCACAAAAATTTGAGGTTAATGTAACTATGTCAATAAAATGTTAATTAAAAGACTTAGCCTTTAACCAAATATACCAAAAGCACTTACGTTTTATCTTTATATTAGGATGAACCTTCAATTTGGCTGGAAATAACGCAAAACTTTGCTCCAAAATGGCGGTAGTCAAAAAATGCTCTGTCAGTACAACAGTTAGCGACTTAAAAGCTCCATCTAGACTTTATAAAAAAAAGTAATAATTGCTCTACTCTTCAACAGATGGCACGTTTTACAAAAATCATTAAATTGTGAATAAAATCAATTAGTCACTTTAGCCCCATAGTTTGCTTTCGCCCCGGGTGACCTTACCTAATTTTGTGAACTGCGTAATAGTTTTTTCAAGCTTTTTACAAGTTTTCTTCAATATCAGCTGTACTCCGAATCGATTTATATTGTTAAGTAATTTAGTAGATTTAAATTTACTATAGATGCAATAAGAAGCAATGCTTTTTTAAGTAATTTTTTGGACACTGGTTTTTGGCATAGATTATTAATATACCAGTAGAGACAATATTTTAATCATTAACTCCGAGTACAGTTGTTAAACATTTTCATGCGCACAAACTTTATAATTAAGGCCAGTATTCAAAAACTTAACAAATCTTATCTCATTTGCCAGAATTTATCTACATGAAGTATTATTACTGAAAACCAGATTATGACTTGAGACACGTTTCTGAATAAAAGCCTTGTTTGTTATAAAAATAGCCATTATTAACATGATAACTATAATGCAAGTAATCTTATATTAATCTCAACATCACAAAACTGTTCAACATCAGTTCAATCTTAGATCAGGGGCATAGACAAAAATACTTGTCATAAGGCCCTCTATATTGTATGGGTGACACCACATCCTTTTCCATACAACTGTCCAGCCCCCAGTCAGTAAGCTAAAAAACTACAAGAAAACTAGAGAATTGTTAAAAAGCTGTTTATTATAACTTTACACTATACATTGATTTATCACTTGGTGGGAACTTCACTATATTAATCACCAGAGATAGAGTGCCATTTAAAAAAAACTATCCAAACAATGTACAATTTATATTTCATATTCATTTTGGTTATAGAATTTTGAGTCTTATCATAATTATGTAACTAAAAAAATATTCCAATAAACTTCAATTTTCAACATTTATTATTATTTATCAGTTATTACCGTGTTGCAAGTATTCAGCAGTCTCTTTTCAACACAGGGTAAAAAGAACTGGCAGAAAGAGACGAAAGATTACTATATAGTACAATTAGACTTTTTTTATAATGTAAGACATTTTTTGTCTGTATTAATATTTGTATAACTCAATTTGCATTCTAAATTACTCAACTCAATACAATCTGTGACATACATACATTGGGCAGTTAAATAATAAATTCAACATTTCTATCTATAATCTTATTTTAATTAAACGCAAAACAGTCCCAGTTCATAAATATTTATTCACTACACAGTGAATAAGCACTTTATCACTTTGCACTATTTTATATTTTTTATCACTTTGAGGTCACTTTAGCTTCGTTTATTAAACATCATTTGGTAGGTGATATTATTCCTAAGGCTGCTGACAATAAACGTACGACGTTCTTTTGCTCCGTAGGTTCATTTTCTGAAAAAAAAATACATTGATTTCAAATAAAATTCATATTCCAAATTATTTTGTCAATTAAACGTGGAAGGCCTGGGAAAGTTGAAGACATCATAGAATATTACAATCAAGCCTAACTAACTAACTTCAGACTAATAAGTAATTTGAGTGTAACCTATGTTAGCTTTTAATATTTATTTAATTAAATTCTAAACATTTTTTATGAAACATATTCTTAAGAATCTTGCTACAAGTGCGCATGTGCAATAGTTACTCATTTAAGTCAGTCGTTCTTTTGTTTACGAATTGTTACGAATTGACTCGAACAACTGCCCGAAGTGGGATGGTCGGGTCGGAGTAGGGTATTCCCTACTCCTACCTAGGGATTATAAAAGAGGTTGTAACACATGCGCACGGGCAATTCCTGTGTTCAAGTTTGAAGTTATAGAGTTTACCTCAAATCAAGTGAATAAAGTCATGATTGGAGTGTTTAATTTCCTACCCTAAGAACTAGATCACCTAGCCCTTACACCTAGTTTACTTATAAGGATTTTTACATAAGAAAGTGGGATAGTATGAAAAATAAAGTGTTATTAAGAGTAATCTGTATTAAACAGGACTTTAAAAAGAGTCTAAAAAACTTTCACACGATTAAGATTTTAAAAATAAAATTAATGTTTTAAATGCTTGTAAACAATCACTCTACTACAGAATGTTTGTAAAATGTCTTTGCCAATCTAATCTTAATGTCTTGTTAAATTTCGTCAGAGACTACTACTGAGTACTATTAAAATATAACATATGTACTAAGAATGATAATTAACTTAAAAATTTTGAAGTATGTTTACATATTTACTTAAAACAACATTACAAATTGTATAGGTTCTATAGTCACTAATAAATAATCTGATATGGTTTTTACAACCTTTTCAAACAAGGTTTTTAGCCCATTTATCCATTCTTAGTAATTGCAAGAAGATATGTAGTTTTAAAAAGATGGTAAGCATCATATCAACTATGTGATAATCATACTTAATATATATGTCAACTCGGAAAACAAAAGGACCTTTTTTTTAAATTAAATTTAATCTCACCGTCAACTCCAGTGACGTGTTTTTCTAGGGTCAGCTTCTCTTGTGCTACTTGGTAAATGCCTTCTTCGATGGTGCCAGCACTCAACAGTCTATAAATGTTCACGGGACGAGTTTGACCCATTCTATGACATCTGATGATTACAAAAAATTGTTTTAAGTATATTTTATAAACAGAAATCGAACTTAGGACTTCACGGTTATATACAACATGGCTTATCCACTAATTGTAATAACTTCTGGTGATAGTGTTTACTTGGCACAGCTGGACAGTTTTTTGGACATGATGAATAAGTCTATTTAATTGTAGCATTCTAACGATGAATTAAAAGGCCTGTAATGCACTTGCGAGCCCTCTGGCAATGTGAGTGTCTATGGGTGACGGTATCAGTTAGCTGAGCCTTATACCCATTACATAATGTTCAGCCATCCAGTTACCTTTAGTCCTCTCTGTTCACATTCTCTATCCTTACCGCACCCATTCCCTAAACACCACTCTTTCTCTTTTGCGGTATTAAAGTGTAGAAGGAGGGGACCGTATTCTACATGCTCCCGCAAGAGAAGATCTATCCGCCGCCGCGAGGGGTCACGCGGTGCGTTTCGTTGCGCTTACGCTTCATCCGCTTATTGTTCATATAGTTTTATTTGTGGTCTTCTCCCACGGAGACAGGTGAAGAAACAGAGAGGACTAAAGGTAACTGATGGCGTGAACACATTAAAAAAATTAAAGTCGTTCAAATTGGTTCAGTAGTTTTGTGTATATTACGGACACAAAAATGCAATTTTTCTATTTATAAAATTACTGTAGAAAACCTTAAACATTACCTATCTTCAGCCTGTTTATCATTATAAGGATTGAAGTCAATATCGTGAATGATGACGGTGTCAGCTGCCGTGAGGTTAATCCCCAATCCACCAGCCTTAGTCGATAGAAGGAACACGAAAATATCTTCACTATTGTATTGGTCTATTAATTCTTGCCTGAAACATAGATAAAATTTGTTATGTGTATTATTTAGTACTAGCGGACCTGAAAGCAGTTGTCCTGCATGATGATATTTCGAGCAGTTGTATTAAACAAAGTATGAAAGTAACGACTGCAGCGCCATCTGGCGGACTCATTTGTGAATTTAAACCATCCAGGGCGCCACTCAAACATACAAAAAATCATTCAATTTGGTCCAGCCGTTTAAGAGGAGTTCAGGTACATACACACGTACAGTAGAATTATATATATATAATATAAAGATTAATTAATCAACTTTTTTTGTATAAAGTTTCTCATTCGCTTCCTCACAGATCTTTGTTTTAGCGATCACCTCGTTGCACTCATATAGTGCATTTTATATTTTATAAATTATTTTTGTGTTTGATCAGTGTTGGCCTAGTGGCTTCAGCGTGCGACTCTCTTACCTGAGGTCGGAGGTTCGATCCCCGGCTGTGCACCAATTGACTTTCTTTGTATATAATGTACTGTGACTGTCTTTGTATGTAATATATAAACGATATATAATTATATAAGTATCAATGAATGTTGACCCTCACCTATCACTGACAGCAGTGCTGCCATCTAGCCGGATATACCGATATCTTCTGAGCTGCAAGTAAGGTTCCAAGATGTCCAGCATCATGGTAAACTGGCTGAATATCAACACTCGGTGACCCTCCTCTTTCATTTTGGGAAGCATCTCGTCCAACTTCTTGAATTTTCCGGAGTCTTCTATTAAACTTGAAGGAACTGAGAAGGACTTGATACACTGTAATGAAAAAAAATACTATGAAATAATTGAATTTATTAAAAAAATATTAATTTAGAACAAATAACTAAATTAGGCTGTTTTCATTAACAAAGACGAAAAAAGTATACAAACAAAAATTTCATAACTCATTGAGATTCACAAATATCTTCATTTATTAATGAAATACAAAAACATATTTTCTTTAAAAAAAAGTTATAATAGTCAAAACTTTTTTTTAAGAAAGTTGTTTTGTGTGAAAGTTGTTTTTATAGTTAACCAATCACAATACGGCGATCAGACATTTCACAGTCTCGACATAATTTGATGAATAACTAGAATGTGTAAGCTGCACTTCATATTTCCAATTAAGCCCTCCGAGAACTGACCATCCAAGCGAGCTTTATTTAAATAAATTTATTAAATAGCTTCACAATATTACCACCTACTCGGTATGCTGTTTTTTAAAAGCTATAGATAAATTTCAGTAAATCTGCTTACTTGAACAGCCCCTAACCGTAAATTTCAGAAAAGAAACCTAAAACTTGGTAGCAAGCAAAATACTACAAATAACATTCCAAGCGATTAAAAAAACAAATTAGTATGAAAGGTATACATACAGGATACTGCAACGTCAGCAGATGTATCTGAAAGTCAGACAGACAGAGCAAGTCTTCATACGCGTACTGCTCGTTCTTCTCCTTATACCCTGGGTCCCTGGCCAGTCGGGCTGCTATTTGCCGGACTTGCGAGTCAAGGTAATGGTATCTGAGGAGAAGTGGGTGGTTCGCCAATTTCCGCATATCCATCATCATTGACATGCCGCTCTGTTCTGTTGTTGCGTGAACCTGTAATTTAAAAAAGTTTCACCAGATATTTCATTAGAAAATCTGATTCATCATCAGAAAAAGAAGATTTTTAGCTTGACTTTAATATGTGATATTATATGAATTGGATGATGAGTTAAGACTATAAAGTGTGTACTAAATTTCTTTAATTCAAATCATTAAAATATTGTTTTCTAAATGACTTTTAAAATCCAATTTAATTAAAATACAATCAACTCTATCTTATTATAAGCGGCACGTAAGTCTAGCGCTGGCCGATACGTGGAGGGGATTGTTGCGCATGTGTACTGTCGCGCACGCAATACATTATATGCCTCAAATTTACAATGATGCTGTAGGAATGACTGAACAAAGTATTTGTAGCTTCGTCAATCTCACTGGATTTGTTTCAAAGAATCAATTAATTCGTTAGATTCCCTTTTTAAAAAACAATTTTCCTGGCTTGTCTTTTCAAAACAGTATTTGTTCTAGGCATATTCACTTTAAAGTCACAAACAAACTTAAAAACAAATAACAAACAACAAATTCAAACATAACAAAAAACAACAAAACGTAACAACAGTAACAATAAATAAATTTTCATTATATAATAATAATTAATCGTATCGGTGCAGGGGACGGAATGCGACTGGAGAGCCAATCGACGCTACGCGCGCCCGCTCTTCATTCCGCTAGCCCCCCTCAGGTACCTTATTTTTTACTTCTGCGCAATAACGGTCGGCGCTAGAGTTTTGTGCCGCTACTTGTAAATGACGTAATTGTTCGTATGAAACTTGAATACGAATTGCATAGAAAAGTAGCATATCATAAAGTCAAAGACAAAATCATTTAATCATATAGGTAACACAGTGTACACTTATGAACGTCAAAAAAAAGAAATGTATATGAAATGCTTCTAACTTATTTAGTACCAGTTCTCAAATCAAGGGCGTAGAACGGAAGAGAAGAACTAGAAGAAGAAAAGTGCCAACTTTTCGCCAACTCTTTTTTAATTGCCATGTTTTTTTACACGTTTGTAATTAATAATAAAATAAATTAAAAACAAAAACTTGCACATATAATTTCGTTTCACTTAAACAAATTAAAAAAACAACAATATAATCTATGATGTAATATGGCGCGTAGACAAATTTCTGGGTCTATTTCATTATAATTTTTAAAATCAGTCTTTTTACCTGTAGCCTTTTGTACTCCTCCTGCTGAACCGATTTTGATATAATTTTCTAATGAGATTCGAGAACGGCTTATATTTACAATAATAAATATAACTTTTTTATTATTTATACGGGAGTATAAAGCAAATAAATAAATTGACAAATGAGGGTTTGAGAACACAGACTAAAGACAGTTTTCTCTCTCAATCTCAATTTCTCTCTCAATTAATTAGCCACACTTACCATTCCATCTTTAGAAGACGAAAACGCAGCTATAAGGTTCTTGTACAGCCTTTGCTGCCTATCAGACATGGCACAGGGCACCATGTGATTAGTTTTCTTCGGCAGGTCTTGAAGAACATCTGCCTTTAACCGACGAAGGACAAAAGGTTTCATAATACGCTTAGCTTGAGTTATCTGGCTTTGTTCAAACGGTGGTACGTCATCTTCCTTCTTTTCAGTCGCTTTTTTAGTTGCTTTTGCTTTCTGTAATATGAAAAAAAGTAATTTAAATACATTATACCTGCATTCGAATAAGAAACAGGTTTCTTGTGTTGGCCTAAAGGTCTAGATACCAGGCCATAAACTCCAAAAAAAAAACTACCATTGAGGGTTAATGTTTGATTAGGTTTGTGACTTTTTATATGAGCAATAAAATAATTATAATTCTATGTTATATATATCATTGGTTAGTATATAAGTTTTCAATCTGGTGCATGGTAAGTATTTAAGTATCTGTTTTTAACTGTGACCATTTTAACTTATTGTTAATACTGAAATATAAATTTTATATATAACCAGGGCAGGGCACATGGTAAGAAGAACAGAAAAGTGAAGCAAGAAAGTATTAAACCGGTGCCCAAGGTACAACAAACGCAGAAGAGGAGTAATAACTTACTTTTTAAGAATCAGTTAAAAACAATAACAGATCACTCTATGTTGTACTTACAGAATTTTTCTGAAAGAGATTCTTCAAGTCATCAGTCTTTCCGGAGAACATATGAGGCATAACAAAGCATAACAGCGACATTAATTCTATCAAATTATTCTGGAGTGGTGTACCGGTTAGAAGAAGTCTGTGTTTTGACTGAAAAAAGAAAATAAACTATAACCATAATTGCCTTAAAATAGATATTGGATTGGTCGAGTTGTTTAATGGAAACATCATTGCTGCTACCTCTTTTCATTTTACACATGTTACAATTGTATGAAAGTTTAATCCGGCTTTGTTTAACCAATTTTCTATATTTCTAGACTAATATTATAAAGAGGAAATATGTGTTGAGAATGAAGAAAAAAGTACACAACTGTGGTCTACTACTTAATAGAGACTGTAAGTAGTGTTATTCGACACTTTCAGCTTGGGACTCTCATACCTGAGGTCGTAGGTTCGATCCCCGGCTGTGCACCAATGGACTTTCTTTTTATGTGCGCATTTACCATTAGCTCGAACGGTGAAAGAAAACATCGTGTGGAAACCGACATGTCTTAGACCCAAAAAGTCAACGGCGTGTGTCAGGCACAGGAGGCTGATCACCTACTTGTCTATTGGATTGCAAAATGATCATGAAACAGATTCAGAAATCTAAGGCCTAGACCTAAAAGGTTGTAGCGCCGCTGATTATTATTAAAACTAAATTCTAACGCAATTTCAAAATAATATTTTTATTTATAAGCTATAAACAAAAAAATATATATATAAACTATAAAACTTACCTTGATCTTCAGCAGGTTGTCATAGCGTTGCGTGGCCATATTCTTGAGCATATGAGCCTCGTCATATATCACATAGTGCATGGGTGTTATGCGAAACATCTTCCGTTCCTCTGGACAACTGCTTACCATTGTGTATCTGAAACATATGATTTAACATCACTACATAGTATAAAACAAAGTCGCTTTCTCGGTCCCAATGTATGCTTAAATCTTTAAAACTGCGCGACGGATTTTGATGCGGTTTTTTCAATAGATAGAGTGATTGAAGAGGAAGGTTTATAAGTATTATAACATCCATTAAATAGTGGAGAAATACTGTTATTTTTGAGGTTTCTAATGTGATGTCGTAAATAAAAAAAAATCCGCTTACATTGCGAACCCTACGAGATTTAATAAAACACTCTTTTGACCGGATTGAAGTTATGTATTATTATAAATTTACAACTATTTAACATAATTTTAAATTTATCCGACGTTTCGCGTGCTTTACAGCGTGCGTGGTCATGATCCGGTCAAAATAGTGTTTTATTAAATGAATAAAAGTTATGTTAATCAAAGACAATACTACCTACGAGATTTATCAAAATAATGTACTAAGTATTGTACACATTAAAAAAGCTTACAGAAAACTCCGCGATGGTATATTATGTCTATCTCTTATGGATATCCCACAATAACTTTTTTTTGTCATTTACTTTTCACGACAAATAATAGCTAATTTTCGAAGCGATTTTAACCAATACAGCATACATCCTTATCCAATTAAATACCTTAAATACATTGTTGATTTAATATAGATCTATATGGCCCATTACAGTATATGATTTAAATGAATATTTTCGGAGGCCGCGGTTCTCCCTAGCACTTTGAATTTATTATCAGCATAACACCCGTGCGAAACCAGGGCGGGTGTTAGTTAATAATAATATAGATAAAATATTAGTAAAAACATGATTTTATCACACTTCCAATTAAACTCAAAATAAGTTTATTCATATAGGTAATAAAGTGCACTGATGAACGTCAACAGAAAAGATGTTAAATTGATTCAAAATTTACATTTACTACCAGTTCGTCCTTCCGGTTTGAGTATCGCAACAGTAACACGTACGTCAGTGATCTCCGCTATATTAATTGTTCTCTTGTGCTATTAAGAATCTACCAAGTGACTATAAAACAAAAAACAGTCCAACAACTAAAAAGGATCATAACAAGATTAAATACATAGTGTGAATAACGCAGTTCAACCAGAAAAGTGTAAAACAATACTTGCTAATACTATAACCTAAAAAGTGCAATGCAATGTAAATAGACTTGGTACCAACATAATACAAGTCACAACCCGGTACCAACATACAAAACAGAAAGACCTACCAACATAATAACAAACTTTCATAGACACTGACGATCAGAGGGTTGCCAGTGCACGAAAACAAAAAAGTACCGCAACATGGACAATTTAGAGATGATGCAGTTTCTATTTTCGAAGCTTGACGAAAAATTAAAACAACAAACTTTAACCATAACAACATCAGTCACTAAGAACGTTTTGGAAGCAATGGATGAGAAAATAAAAACTATGATGGAAGAAAACACTATGCTCAAATCAAAGGTAAACGAACTGGAACAAAAACTTGATAATGCCGTAAATGAAAAGCGTAAATGCAACCTAATCTTTTTTGGACTCGAAGAGCTAGGAAAAACAGAATGTGAGCTCGTAGACTACATAAAAGAGATAATAATAGACACAGGTGTCCACATGGAAAGTCAAGAAATCAGTAATGTATATAGGATTGGACGTCGTACTAGTAACAAAAACCGACCAGTAGTGGTATCTTTCACAACACTGTGGAAAAAACATACAATAATGAAATGCAAATCAAACCTTCCATCAGGTATTTACATCAAAGAAGATTTCCCCAAAAAAGTATTGGAAATACGCAAACAGCTCCAGCCACAGGTCGAGGAAGAGAAGAAAAAAGGAAATATCGCATTCCTGAGATACGACAAAATAATAATTAAAGCACCATCGCAACAAGACAAAAACCGTGATAAAAGAAAAAGAGAGGAGTCTAATTCACCAAGCCCGTCAACACAGAAAAAATCCAACCTAGAAAAGCCGAAAAGTGGAGCAACTAAAGAAATCCGGAAACCTGGCATACTTAACTATGTTGAACGCGGACGATCAGCGTCAATATCAGAACCCTCAAAAAACTAACAACCCGCGCTGATACTCATAACCAAAACCAAAACAAACAATCAAAGACAACCAACTTCCCACAAAATTCATTTCCACGTCTCCCAACACGGCTGGTCCCCGCGGGAGCACTAGACCAAAACCCTCCAGCTAAAAGATGTGAAACATTCAAAATTGGAACACTTAACACGAAAACCTTTCCAAGACGGTTGGTCACCGCGGAAGAGTATGACCACAACCCTCCACAAGGCTATGAGGATAAAACTCAATTAAAAAACAATATTATTTACATCTGTACGTACAACGTTAGATCGCTGCTCGCAGAAAATAGATTACCAGAATTAGATCAAGTGCTAGATAAAATAAAATATGATATTATTGGATTATCGGAAGTAAAAATGGAAGGCATAAAAATAGAACAATATAGAAACTATATCTTAATGTATAGAGGAGACAAAAGTGGGTCAAATGGAGTAGGATTTATCGTCAATAGTAACTTAAAAAAGAACATTATAGATTTCACAACTTACTCAGACAGAGTCGTAAGATTAGACATTCAGTGTGACACAACTGTGTTAAACATAATACAAGCTTACGCACCTATCGAAAGAGCTAAAGAAGAAGCGGTGGAACGATTTTACAACCAAGTCACTCAAGCTTTCTCAAACACTGGGAAACACGTCATTATACTAGGGGACTTCAATTCAAAAATTGGGCTTCCTCTACCTGAAGAACACAAGATCTGTGGGCAATATGGATATGGAGAAAGAAATGAAAGAGGGGAAAGACTACTACAATTCTGTTATACAAACAAGTTCGTTATATCTAATACCATATTTAAGAAACCTCAAAAACGGAAATGGACATGGCTATCACCCAATGGCAAAACTAAAAACGAGATAGATTTCATATTGATTAAAGATAAAAGATTCATAACAAATTTTGAAATTCTCTCTCCAAAATTCCCGTCTGATCACAGAATGCTGAGAATATCCTACAAATTACAACAAACAAAGAAAAAACGTAAATTTCTTCGAACTAAGAATAAAACGTTTCTACCTATAGAATCAAATGTGATGGGAATGATAGTAACAAGAGAACTAGCTGGAAATCCTACACCTGAAAATATAAATAACCACTATAAAACTATAGTGTCTGCAATACAAAAAAGCACTTCGTACTTACCAACAAATGCGATAAAAAAAGACCAAGAAAGCAACACTATAAACAATAATATCCTAAAATTAATAAATGAAAGAGAAAAACTTAAGAACACATGGCCACGCTCAGACAGAGAAAAAAAGGCTAAAGAAACTTTATAGAAAAATAAAGGAAAAAATAATTGAAAGGAAAAATAAAATAAAAATGAAATTGATTGAAAGTGAATTGGAAACAAGAGGCTCTACTAAAAACAGCCAGAAAAGCCACAAAAAAGAATGGATGCACTCAATAAAAACAAAATCAGGAGAAACTATAACAAATCGACAAAGCATCCTTCTATCAGCTACTGACTTTTATAAAAAATTATATTCGGAAAACCAACAAACGAACCCAGTCGACTTAAATATAAACCAGATACACGACCAAGAACAGGTCCCTTGCTTTTTACTAGACGAAGTCGAAAGCGCTATCTCAAGAATGAAGAAAAATAAATCACCCGGCGAAGATGGCATCACCACAGACATGTTAATAGCAACGGCAGAACAATTGGCACCACACCTGAGTAATATTTTTAATAAAATACTTGAAAGAGAAAAAATACCCGATCATTGGACACATTCAATAATAACACTCATATACAAGAAAGGAGACTCCAAACTAATAGATAATTACCGCCCAATCAGCTTACTTCCAACTTTATACAAACTTTTCTCATCACTCTTACTCTTCCGAATCAGTAAAAGCTTAGACGAACAGCAACCACGAGAGCAAGCCGGATTTAGGAAAGGATTTTCAACTGTTGACCATATCTTTACATTGACACAGTGCATTGAAAAGTGCAGAGAATATAACAAACCTATCTACTTGGCATTCGTTGATTATACTAAAGCGTTTGATTCGATTTTACAAACACATTTATGGAAAGCATTAAAAGAACAAGGAATAAATAATAAAATTATTAGAATATTAAAACTTATATATGACGACTATAACGCCAAAATAAAACTAGAGAGTTATGGGCCACTATTTCGAATTGAACGTGGAGTCAAACAAGGCGACCCTATCTCACCAAAACTTTTTACAGCTCTATTAGAATCAATGTTCAGGAAACTACATTGGGCAAATTGTGGACTTAACATAAATGGAGAATTCCTGTCACATCTACGCTTTGCCGATGACATAGTAATACTGTCAAATACTCATGAAAACCTACAAATCATGCTTTCAAAACTAAACACTGTAAGTAAAAATATAGGCTTACAAATGAACATGACAAAAACCAAAATTATGACCAATGACGACCGCATAATTACAACAATAGAGTCATGTGTAATAGAGTATGTAAATGAATTCATTTATTTAGGCCAACTCATTTCCCTGGACGATCTCACAGAAAAAGAGCTAAGTCGACGAATCGCCATCTCATGGAAAAAATTCTGGGCAAACAAAGATATATTCAAAAACAAAAAAATACCAATTCACTTAAAGAAAAAACTGTATGACAGCACGATTCTACCATGCCTATTATACGGCTGCCAGACATGGTCTCTAACAAAAAAACAAATAAAAAAAACTGTCAGTATTCCAAAGAGCAACAGAGAGATCGATGCTGGGTGTAAGACTAAGTGATAGAGTAAAAAATATAGAGATCCGGAAACAAACCAACTTAATAGATGCTGCCGAAATGTACTGCAAACTCAAATGGAAATGGGCAGGACACATAACAAGAGTAAATGACGGAAGATGGAGCGAACGCGTACTTCATTGGTATCCCAGAGACGGCCGAAGGAACAAAGGTCATCCCGTTATGAGATGGAGAGATGAGATACATGACATGGCCGGCAACACCTGGACAAGGGACGCTCAGAACCGACACAGATGGCAAAATATGGAGGAGGCCTTTACCCATAACCGGGTACCCAACTAAATAAACAATTAGTTATTTAATATACTATTAAAATTTAAATATAATACTAACAATAAATTAAGAAAACTAAATACTAACACAGCTAAAGTAATGTTATTTAAGGTTGGCAATAAAAGGCTTTTGAATTTTGAATTTGAACCAGTTCGTCAAGGGCAAGCGGCAAGAAGTACTGGCAAGAAACTCTCCGCCAATCTTTGAGTCATACAAAATGTTTGAACTGAAGCAAATCAATTCCAAGGATTAGGATCATATAAATAATCGTCAAATTTATAAAAAGCTTTATTGATTAATTTAATTTGCCGATTTTATTGATTAAGTCTACGTGTTTGTATATAAAACTGGTGCGAGGCCACCTTGCCTTGAGAACCATTTTTTTCTTGAAATTAAATTTAAAGCAAATAAAAAGTATTAAAAATAGCAATTTCTGTAAGTCCTATTGTCACTAATAAATAATCTGATATGAACTTTAAAATCTTGTCAAATGGCCCATTTTTAGTTAATTTTCATTAATTTTTTCCTTTCCTTTTTTTAGTAAGCAGTGTTGGCCTAGTGGCTTTAGCGTGCGATTTTCATCCCTGAGGTCGTAGGTTCGATCTCCGTGCACCAATGGACTTTCATTCTATGTGCGCATTTAACATTAGCTCGAACGGTGAAGGAAAACATCGTGAGGCATGCTTCCCTTAGACCCAAAAAGTCAACGGCGTGCGTCAGGCACAGAAGGCTGATCACCTACTTGACTATTAGATTACCAAATGATCATGAAACAGATGCAGAAATCTGAGGCCCAGACCTAAAAAGGTTGTAGCGCCATTGGTTATTTTTTTTGCACATTAATTTTGTACTTACGTAGTAAGAACCACATCGTATTGGTCAAGTCGTTTGGCGTACTCAATACGAAGCAAGCGACGTTCTTCAGGTGGGCCATAGTACCTGCTCACACGGAATGAGGGAACCCAACGGGCAAGCTCAGTGCTCCAGTTGTCTGAATATTAGAAACAATTAAATTAATATTTTTAGTTGGCTAAGGGATTCAAGTATTACGTAACGAATTTGGGGGGGGAGAGGTTCTTTTGCAAAACTTTACGATGCGGGGCGGGATTAATATTATTTTCGACTTTCCAGTACTTTACACTACATAATGGTAACTTTTAGGTATAAAGAGTCACTAGGTGGTCGCGAAATGTTTTACTATACTTGGGTACAGAAAAACGTTACGGCGCGTTACATGGTGGGGGGGGGGTGTCAATAATCTCAAAAATTGGGACGGGGGCGTGTCAACTAATCTATCAAAATAAGCTAAGATAATAATTTTAATAATTTACAAAGTACATAATTATCGTTAAACACATTTAATTCTCTTGGTAACACAAAACCAATCAATAGAAATGATAAATATGTATGTACTACCAGTCTCCAAATCAAGGTCGTAGAACTTGCAAGAAACTCTACACAACTCAATTTAATAAGTTTTCAGAGAAATTCAACGACTGTTACTGCAACCATTACGCCCTACTTCACTTGACATATTAAAAAATGTCATTAAAAAAAATGGCAAACGCTTCAACTGTCAAAATAGTACCACGAAAATAACAATATAGTGAAGATAACACAAATGGCTAAGCCTATCTTGAATTGTGTATAGTATCCACTATAATTGAAATTATTAATAATATCACCACATACTGGAATTTAAGCTCAACCAGTCACCCCAAATAGCACCCGTCCACAAGCACAATGCATGGTCAGCCATCGTTTCGCATTATGCAGAAAGAGGGACAACTTATACACATATATATAAAAGATTTTGTATCGCGCAGCCCGGACATACAACGACCAATATTTAAGCCTTGACCTGTTTAAGCTGTCGCGGAATATGATTAAAAGAAGTATTAAGAATATCCATAGCGCAAAATCACCTGCATCATGAGCATACCCCACATACACACCTTCACATACTTACCCTCACTTTTACACCATCATACAACACAACCAAATTAGGTACCATCTTAGATAAACGTATTGAATAGTTTTTATTTGTTTGTTTCCTTTTATAAATTCTTGAACCATTTTGTAGTTAAATGTATTATTATGTATTCCATATTTGGCTATATTTTTAATGTAACTGTTTGTTATTGTATATAATTTATGTTAGCTGTAGGTTTACAAAATAAATAAATAAATAATCTAACTCACCCAAAGTAGATGCAGGCACTACAATCAAATGTGTCCCCTTGGCTTGTCCTGTTTCTTTAAGATGTGCGAGGAAGGATATCACTTGTACTGTCTTCCCTAGACCCATCTCATCGGCTAAGATACCAGAGACACCCTGCTTATGCAACACAGCGAGCCAATTCAAACCCACTAGTTGATATGGGGCTAGCGTTAAACTGAAAATTTAAAATCGATTGTGAGGAAGTTGGATGGATCTGGATCTGAAGTTCTCATGTCATTTTCACAAATGTATATCCTTTCTATAACATATTTTCATAAGTATCTGATTGTCCTCATTTTAATATGGGTGATGTTTGAGAGCAAAAATAAAATAAATTTGTATGTGATATGGGGTCGTTCAAGTATTACGTAAGCACCATAGGGGTCTTTGATTTTCTTATTTGGTGATTATGTCAATAATTATTTACTGTTTCACATATTACGATTCCTATATAAAATTAATACGTTTATGTACTTTTATTTTTCAGAGCTTTGCTTACTTTTGATGACAAGCATGGGGGGGATAAATTGCAGTAAATCTGCTTAAGTAATACTTGTACGGTCATGTGACATTAAACAAAAATAATATTAAACACATATTAAATAATTGAATTAATTATAAAACAAAACACAATACATGTAAGATTATGTTGTGCGACCCGTAGAGTGGCAGACATTTTTTATTTGTGAGGTTGCTGTGTTTTAAATGAATAACACAGCAACTCACAAAGGAAAAGTTTTTTTTTTAATTTTATAAGACATATTCCTAATAGGAAATTTGACTTTTAGGCTTAGGAAAAAGAATTTTATACATAACATTAAAATGCATTAAAAAATTCTAGATTCCCATGGTATTGAAAATAGAAGCTACAGAACAATTGGCCTCATAAAAAAGTCAACAGAAATTTATTTACCTAGAATCTAAAATTCCAGGTTGTGTTAGTCTTCCCGCTCCAGCGGCAACGGCAGCCTCCAACTGTTGGGCTAAACCCACACATTTCTTCATCAAACGTTGTATATTATTCCTAGTGCAGAGTAATTCTTGGGTTGAATTTAATAGATCTGTACTCAGCATTTTGTTATCATTAAATTTTTGTACCTAGAATGTGTGAATGTTTAAATTAATTTTAACATTTCAAAGTCTATAAATCAATATATAATAAATGTCTGAACTACCTTACACTTAAGTTAATTTAAGTTGTGTTAATATTCATATCAAAATTAGATAATTTGGATACAATTATAAAACACAATAAAATTTGAATAAAACATATTCATATATCATTATTTTTTATCAATAAAGACATAAGTTTTGGCCTCAGTTTTCTGAATCTGTAAGATGACATTTATTTTTTTTGTTTTTCTGTGCCTAATACTTTTTCAGGTATGCCGGTTTCCTAACGATGATTTACTTCACTATGCAGACTTGTTCAAACCCACAACTTAGTGTTGAGAAGCACACGCACAAGCCTCTAGGCCAAAACTTCTACTCAATAAAGACGTAGGCCAATATTAAATCTTACCATATCTAACCATCCCCTGAAGGGCCTCTGAGCAATAATGGCTTCAGCTTTCTTTTGTGAGCAACCGCTAAGCAATGACAGTTCATTGAAACTGCTGGTGTTAAGAAATTCAAAAACTTTCCGTTTGTCTCCAATCAGATCATCTGTTATTTCATTATCCGAATCGTCACTGAAAAATAATTTGTAATATTTAGTGGATTTTAATTTCAAAGGACATAAAGAATGAGAATGTTATACAACTACTTCTGAATTACATATAAAATTTTAATGGGTCCAATAGAGTTTAGAATTTGAACAACTGCCTTAGAACAACATCAATAATGTCTAATCTGGAAATCAAAATCCAATATGTTTCTGTCATACTGTATTTAGTGTTGAGTCTAACCTAACCATCAGTTAGATTCAGTAACAAGTATATATGAGAGTATAAGCTCATGTTCATTACACTATTTAAATACAAGTTCTAATATCAGCAAATGTATCTTGTTTTAATAATTGATTAAAAAACCTTAAAGAAGTTTTATTTAAATTTCACATACTACAATTGGTTTTTCTGAAAGAAATTACATGTATTTACAGATGTTTTACATAACAATAAAACTAATGTGAATACCAAAATATTTTTTTTATGTTTTTTTAAATCTACATCACTTATGTAATTAAAAATAACCTTGGAAGTGGCTACTTTCACTTATGAATCAACAAATTACTCACCTATCATAGACTTTATCGTCTTTGCCTTTCCTAACACCGTAGTCATCATCCTCACTACCACTACTACCTCGTCGGACCCCACCGACTTTAGGCATGACTTTTTTCCTTACAATAGCAGTTTGCCCCTGACTATTTGTTACCCTTATTATTGTGGTCCCATTAACCCTGGCTACACCAGAAAAACCTGGCCTTGAGCCAAAAAAGCTGGATGTGGCTGGTTTATCATCACTCTCAGGATCATGCTTTAGTAGCTCATCACGAGTTTTCTCTTCATTCCAGCCATGTTTAACTAATGTATTTTTAACAAACTAAAAAAATTACATGATTATTTAAAGTATAACATAGCAAATCTATATGTTCTTAAATAAATTATCAAGTAAGACTGTATTTTGTACATCATGATTTCAAAAAAAAATTAACCTTATATGTTATCTTATTCCTGGTAAAACTCATATTATATATATTTTTTATTCTATGAAAAAACCTATACTATATACAGATAACCTATAAAAAATAAAGTAGCATTTTATATCTTACCAATGGTGATATATCTGGAAACATTTCAACCATATTTCTAAATCTTCGTTCTTTTATTGCTGTAGTTAGTTCCACTATAGCCGGTCTTTTTGCTGGGGAGCCTGCATCATCAGAATCTGAGTCTGGTATCCTTATTCTCTTATATACAATTGGACCATTTGACGTTGTTGGAGCTGGCATTCTTATCTGAGACTCTGTTAAAATAAATAAGTATTCCATACAATTTTATTGCTGTTATAAATGATAGTGATACTATTATGCTGTAACTGCACAATATATTTGTGTACCCTAAATGTGGTGAATGTAGTCAAAGGTCCTACAAAAACTTAAATAAAGAATGATAGTATTCATTATAGGTAATAGGATATTTAACAAAAGATATATATTTTTGTACTTAAATTATGTATTGCTCTTAAATTGATATTAAAACAATTCGTCTGTAACAAACCATATACATACATATATCTTTTTTATTTTCATTTACAAAAGTTAATGTTTACCTTCAAAGTATGTAACACTTTATCAGCTGTTACCTTTTGTTATATGTCATAGTATGTGCAGTTATGCAACACAAGTTATGCCAAGATCCAACTTGAATAAATTTTATGAGAAAAATAAATAATTTGTTTCAAGATCTCAAGCTCAAGAATTTTTTATGCCATTTTATGTCATGTACTTAGGCAGAGCAATTTAAGCACTTTAAGGCATGTAGTTATAAAACAAACATAAAGCTACATAAAAATTAACAAGCTAACACTTAAAATTCCAAAAAGAGGCTGGTTTGGAATAATTTTAGAAACTCTAAAATCTAAAAAACATAACGTGGATTGCCGTGGTAGGTATATTTCTATGTAAGAACATGGTGCTACAAAAGTGTAAGTCTACACGTGTTGTATAAAATTACGGCTCTAATAACTGTGACCTTTTTTTTTTTACTTACGAGAACCTGACGGTCTTATAACTGTGATTGTTCCACTAGAGCCAGGTGTAGGTTTTCGTTGAAATCTATATTGTCGCAAATAACTTAACACACTAGGGCTAGTACTCTCCGACATCGTGCCAAATGTGCACGTCCCTGTATAGATATAATTTTCTGTGATAAAAAAAATCTTATTAAAAATAACGCGATATAAATGTGGAAAAAAGTTTCACACCACACCATTCAAATGCGGAAACAACACTGCGGCCATTTTTATCCGCGAGAATGACTCTATACAGGTAGACTAGCCAATCTCATTGAATGAAAATTGACATTTACTTTTTTAAACCAACCAACAATAAATAATATTTTTCGTAGTAATTTTGTGCCGTTCTAGCCAATAACAACTATTAATAAATTAAAAATCTTTCGTATGAATATCATCCAACAAAGTATGAATTTAAAATTTTAATAAATTGTGGGAAAACTGATAACTATTCCAATTGTTAATACTATAGTTACTATAATAAACACAGACTCTTTTCTCAGACATTTTTTTTACTCAGATCTTTCTCTTAGGTCGGTAACTCATATCTGAGTGTTTACTGGTTTCTGTCCAGTATCTCTCTTATTGCGGTGTAAAGTTTTGAGGACGATCAATCTTTCACTCTATCATTCCATATTATTGGAATGGTCGTACGATCTTTTGCCTTCTCTGTCGAGTTCTCAATTTACCTTTCAACAATTTTAAGTTTCTCTGAATATATTTATTAATTTTGGTACAGTTTTTGAATCCAAATTAAATATAATTAATAAATAGAAGGAGATTCGTAGTTATATATATTTAAAGGCATTATATATACATAAATAAACAAATACCCTTCCTCACCTGTTTTAATGAACAGTATAAATATAGTGATAAAGAGAATTAAACTGCTTAGCCTTAGTAAATATTTCCGATTGCGATTTCGCAGAAAGAATAACCAAGTTTGTTCTGTACATTTAACTCTGGTGCGACCAGTGCTCACTTATGGAGGTGAAACCATTGGTCCATTAAGAAGACGTACGAGCTCTCCTTATTTTCCAGCGGAAGAATTAAGAAGAATTTATGACCCTGTGGGCGACGACGGTGTTTGGCGTATTCCCTTTAATGAAGAACTTTATAACATTTTTGACGGCGCCAACATCACCCAATTCATAGAATGCCACAGGCTCAAGTGGTTAAGACATGTGCACCAAATGGCGAACGAAAGAACTCCAGGGTCCTCCGCAAATACATAGTCGAAATAACTAACATCACCGTCATACACGAATTCAAGTCCAACCAGTCACCACAATTAGCACCCTTTCACGAGTATGACGCTATTTTTACTGAACCTGGTGGCAAGAGAAAACCCGGTTGACAGACGCTGTGTTAGCGGGAGGGAGATGTCAAAGACCTTGAAACAATAAGTGTTCGAAATAGTTTACCATGTCGATATATACTTGAAGAGCCTAATAAGGCCCACAAGGGGCTGTTTAGCCATTGATGAAGATGATAAAAGAGAATTATGTACTCTGTAGTAATAATGCATTTGGTTTTGTCAGAAGCTTCAAGCTAAACTATGGCCTCGTTGGAGTATTTTATTCTATATTATAATGACAAACTGTTCGTTGATCTAAAAGTCATTGGTCAGTGGTCACATAGATTCTCTATCTGTCAATCTGTCTGTCACATTAATAGGCGCGGCCATGTTGGTCTGTAGTGAATAAAAATCATTTCAAATTATTGCTTTTACGAAACTAAAATTGACACAATATGCCCAAATGCGACCTCAAAACGAGATACATCCCCGCGACTTTCGCCTGGACTTTACTATTGGGCACAACGTCCCTGTTTTTTTATTTTCCGTAAGTATACATTCAGTTTGCAAAGTATGAATCTCTTTGATTTGACAACTTTCACATAAAGATTGTGGAATCGCTGCTATTAATATCTCCCGACTACCTTTGCCCTATTTGACTTTATAATGCCATACACTTTGTGTTTGTATTAGCAGCAGAAATTGCCTATAAGCTTTCGCTAACTCAATATTTACTCTTGTAAGATTACTAAAATTTCATGGTATGTTTAGTTATTCTACAATTGCAAATGGTATAAACAAGTCCCAATGTATGTTAATGACTAGCTTTGTGATAAATGTTACATGCAAATTTACTTTTCAAATAAGCTTGGGGTAATTCAATTAATATGTTTGTATGAGTTATGACTGATAAAAGACTATTACCACCACTATAAAAGTGTTCTCAAATGTGTTTATAAGAATATTTTTACAGTTTGGTTGAGGTTGCTGTATAAACTTGTATTGATTTTGCATAGTTTCTGTTTTATAATTTGTTTTTAAGAGTATGTAAACAATATTCAAGTGCTTATTAGAACTTTAGAATAATCAACCAGTTTTTTTTCAGTTGCCAATACTATCTGCACAAGCACCCATGGGTACCAGCATATCAAGGTGTCATAACATTTTTTGTTTTGGCCAATTTTACACTGGCCACTTTCATGGACCCGGGGGTGATACCAAAAGGTATGTAATTTTTTAATAAGTCTCATGTAAAAAAGTACCTTAACCTAAGGTTGGTTCTGGCTAATGAAGTATGAATACTACATACAATTATTAAACTTAGTATAATGTTTCAGTTTATAGTCAATAATGCCTTAAGATTAAAATATTGTAGTAGTTTATTTTTAATGAATCTAGGTTTACTAATGGTGCACTAATGGGCATTTTCATAGAGATAAGATTGTTATAATAATGTGATAAGAGTGATAAACAGTGAAAATAATAAAATAAACTATGGAATATTAGGTAATAAGGTCTTGTTTGCCAAATAATGTTACGAAAATTCTTAAAACATTAAAAGAAGGCAGGGAAATCTGACTACCTATTTGCATTTTAAAAAAGAATATTTGTAATTGGTTTGTTATATAATTAACCAAAGTGGATCTTTTTCTTTTGATAAATTGATCTTATTGAAAGCACAATAATATTGAAACTGAATATATAAGTTTAATATTTTTAAAACTATAACAATAACTATATACATGTATTCCTTTGTTGTAAATGTTTATAATTTTACAACCTGATCCATTTGACAAATTAATTTTGCTATTACCCAAATTATAATAAATTTATGCATCTGTGACATCAATATAAAAGTTACGTTTACTTTATTCATAATATATTAGAATACACATCTTATCCAACATAATACTTGTAGTGTACTCATACTGTAATATAAAAAAATAAGTAAAAGGAAAAATAATTTGGCCGAAGTATGATTAAATTAACCCCTGTACTGTTCTCACTCAATTTAATGTACAATTGTTTATTTGCATCCGAGATTGTAATTGAATTGAGATGCGAGCTGTTTGTGTTCAATGTTACGGTCGAGCAGTTACTGGCTCAAGTTTTAATTAACTTTGCTTTGCAAATATAAACTTTGTTGTTCACATGAAGGGTTGGCTGGATATGGTTAATGTGCTTTTTTTTGTCAAATCTTTTGTTTTTATTTTCTCTCTATTCAGCTCTTTGTGTTGGCATAAATAAAATGTTAATAAACTATTGAATCACCTCAAAAATGTATTCTATATAATAATAAAAGCCCTTTATTTTCTGCCTTTTTTTAACTTACATGCTATTCTTATAAAACAGTAGTATTCTTAAATCTAATTTACATAGCAAAAGTAATAAATTTATAAGCTTTGGTCAGCTTGTCTGTCGACATAGGCCTTCCCTAATTGTTTCCATGTCTCTCTATCCTTGTCAGTCCTTCTCCATCCTTTTGGTGGATAGTCAACCCATCTTTTGATTTGACCTCCTTGTTTTCTTTTCCGGTCCCTCGGATACCACTCTATTACATCCTTAGTCCAGTTTTCTTTCTTAAAATTGATTGATTCTAAAAATACTTAAATAATAATTATTATTAGACAGTGGCACTATAACCTCATTATGTTATAGTTATAAGCCTCACATATCTGCATCACACTTGGGGTTTTAGGCCAAAGAGATGCCGGAACCCTAAATGTTTTCTGATAAATTTTGCACTTAGAAAGACGTCCATTGGTTCTAGATTTTAAATGCAAGCTAACATCATACATAATTTGAATGTAGTCAGAGAGATATTAGATACACAGTATGAATTAGAAGAAATCTTGGGTGAATTGTTATTAACACATCTCACTTTGGCCTTGAAGAAGGTTTCTAAAGTACTTGCAATCGTTTCATCAAATATTGATTTCGCGTGAGATAAATCGGTGTTAACATAAAATAATTTAATATGAGGAGGAAGTTTCTTGTAGCTGCCGTGGTTAATTTGATTAGGTGCTTTTTATTGAATGCGTTTATAGTATCCAAATTCGTACCAGCTTCTCCGGTTTAGAATAAATCCATGAACTTGACGCAGAAATCCGTCTACTCTATTCCCCATTGCCAAATGGCAACACATTAAAAAATTACTTGAATTGATAACCTCTGTTTTTTTAGGTCTATTAAAACATTACTTTGTGCGTATTCTGTCCAAACTATTGAATCGATTATACTATAGAGATGGAAAGGGCTTCGAAATTAAGCGCTCGTTCTACATTTGTATCCTAGTTATAAAGAGAAAAATTTGTCAGAACCATGTTTATGACAAAAGCATTCACATTTTCGAACAGGAAAATCTAGTGCACACTAGATTCTTTTTACAAACAAAGGCAGCAGGAAAATGGTTACCTCACGCATATTTAAACATTATTTTTAGTCTATTTCTAGAAAAATGGTCGTAAAAGAGCGAGGCCACCCTTTGAGGTTAGTTGTCCATCTTATAATCCAATATCGGTAATCATCGGCGAACCGTTTGATCGAATTAAAATGAATTTAATAGATTTGGATAATCCAATTAAATTTTGAAAGGTTCCTGTGATACATATATTCCTGCCTTTTAACTAAACGTACTTAATACGGGTAAAAGTTAAATTAAAAAACCTGGTAAATTTGTCGAATTTATAGAGTATTTTTAAAGGATAAGAAAACTGTAGTAAAGAGGTACTGTGGTAAATATGTCGAATCACGACTCCACCTTTAAACAGCTCAATTTTTTTTCTATTGTTCTTTACGACTTGTAAAGAACGATAGAACTTGTGGAGCATGGCTTTGGACCCCCTTAAAATAAATAAAAAAAACTGATAACATGCAAGCCAAAAACTGGAGCCGTGATTCGACAAATTACCAAAAACCTCTTTACTGCAGTTTTCTAATCATCTAAAAATACTCTATAATAAAGTCAAAATACTCTATAGAGTTGAACTGTATTCAGAAAATTTGTATGCATCAAAGGCTAGCTACTTGCCTTTAAAAATATGTGAATCAGACGCATAATTGAATATGTACCACACCATTTTAGTTACGGGCCTTCATACTATACTAACTAAACAATTAAACGCACAATTACTTAGTTTTCTGTGGGTTTGAACCTGCACTATATCTTTAGAAAAGGGTAATCATTTTTATGTATTTATTTTGCACCTCGGAGATTCTTAGGTCTAGAAAAAAAACATCATACATAATAAAGAAATAACGAAATAAATATTTTAAATTTACGATAAGTACAACATACTTTAATGTGTACCCAAAATACGAATCGTAATTACTACGGGTAAATATTTCGAAGAAATTGACAGGTATTTTTAATATAGAATCAGGATGTCAGCCAATTCATATAGATATTATTCATGCGAAAATAATTGCGTTCGTTACTTGCATCTTGCTTTTACGATAAGACCGCAAACCTTGGAATCCAAGATTTCTTTATATTAATTAACAGCGATGTTTTTTCTCATTGTTTCCGAGATCTTTTGTAGGTATTTTTAATGTACAGCGCTTTAAAAACATTTTCTCTGGAACTGATAATATGCTTTGTTCTTTGTCTCATATTAATTGTTTTTGAATGATCTTGAAAAGAACTTTGCGATGTTTGCAAATTCTAGGTTATACTTTATTTGCGATGTTGTAAGGGGTGATCAGTTAGAACGTATTTTAATATTGATTTAAATGTCATACGATATAAATGGCGTGACTAATTCTGCCTTAGAATTGTCAAATATGTCAATAAGATAAATAGCGCAAGAGGTAATGCGGGTCGCGAAGGCTGGCGACTCGCCCATAAATATCATGAGGATATTTCCACCAGACCTAATTTTAAGCAAATAAAGTCCCTTTTTAGGAAAGGCGAGATTTGACATTCCCTGCTGCCTAGCTTCTCGGACCCACCTTTGATTTTGGCCAATATAACCGGTATGTTGTTCTAAACGATGTCGTCGTAAACGTTTTTGACTGTATATATAATAAATTTGACATTCTGTTTCTACTATAGTGATACAAACGTTTGTTTCCTAATAAATAATTAAACATTGCGAGGACGTTTCCTCGCAATGTTTAATTATGTATGAGATAATAAATTACAAATTCATTACGACAAATTTGCGCGCCATTGTGTGCGGCAGAATATGCGAACTTACACATTTTTGTACCATATTTTTCCAATAAATAAATTATTATTATTATAAAGACTAATCCCATAATTGCCATTAAAGGAAAAATATCAACTTTACCTTATAAAAGCTAAACTGTAATGGTCATACGTCAATACATCCCTAATTGGTTTTTGTTACTAGGAAACATAATAATTAATGTTTTCAGTCATAATTTCTTTGTCAATCATGACCTAATTCAACATTTATTCGATTGAGTCGTGTCATACAAAGTCACGAGTGACATACTTAAGGTACCTCATTGATAAACATATTTGAATGTATTTACGAGTTAGTAGTGTAGGAAGTAGAGTAAAAGATATTATGTTGGTTGCAAATGAGAATGGCTGGGTATAATATAACGTTTGCTTACCTAACTAGTGGCATAGTGGCTTCAGCGTGCGACACTCTTCCTTGTGGTCGTAGGTTCGATCCCCGGCTGTGCACACCAATGGACTTTCTGACTATCTATTTAAAAAATCCCCAGACCCAAACAGTTGACGTGTGTCAGGCACAGGAGGCTGATCACCTACTTGCCTATTAGATTGGCACGATCATGAAACAGATACAGAGATCTGAGGCCCAGACCTAAAAAAGTTGTAGCGCCACTGGTTTTTTCCTTACCTTAGGTACTACGGCGGCCTTCATCATTTCGCCTATTCCGAATGAAATCAAAATACTTATAAATTATATAAAAAAAAATGTATGATTTTAAATTCACATTTACAATCAGTTTCCAAATAGTAGTAGTAAAAACAATTCGTTTATTATGGAATATATACGTAAGATACAGGTATCACTTATTCAACGTCATTAAATTTGAAACGGTAGACATCCCCACTCGTCGGCAAAGAAGACAGAAAGTGTAGGCCGAGAGAAAAATCCGGCGTAAAAAACTCTCGGTACTCTTTTAAATTAGCAAATCATCATACAAAATGACTATGGCAAACAACACTTATTTCAAAACAAGTAGGGCGAGAAGTGGTAAGAAATCTCCACTCCTTAATCACAAGCTCTTTATGTACTTAACCAATACAATGATGTATTCCTACAAACGATGCTTCGATACTTCCAGCCCCACCTGACGAAGACCGCGAGGATGACTTCCGTGCGCCGCTGTATCGCAGCGTGGAAATAAATGGTATAACGGTTCGGATGAAGTGGTGCGTCACCTGCAAGTTTTACCGACCGCCGCGCTGCTCACACTGTTCTGTCTGTAATCATTGTATAGAGGTAAGTAGGATTATGTACTATTAACTCAAGAAGCATAGCATGTTTAACATCTATTCTTCTTTTAGTGCTTCTTTATTGCTATTAACAACTTGAATTGCCGGGTATCGTGCGCTAAACTAAAAAGCTCCTCGGCGGATGATGCCGGTCCACTCCCGTACGTTCCGCAACCACGACTTCCTCCTGCTACTAGCTCATCTCTTGCCTTGAATTTTGCCCATTATATGTATCCATGATTACGCAAAACGTGTCCTACAAGCGACTTTCCGTGTTTTAACAGTCTGCATAAATTTTTGTGTCCCGATTCATTGAAAGACTCATTCGTCGTTTAATATTTAATAGAAACATACAAAAACATTCTGGCTTTGCAACACAAAGAGTTTTTACTTTGGCACTAAAACTAAACTAAAAAGAGGAGGCTAAGGCCCACAAGAGGCTGTATAACCATTGATGATGATGATCAGGGAATTCATTCCCAAATGGAATTAATTCCCTGAGAATGTTGTCCTGGCCTCGTCACTGAATTATTTTGAGAACAAATTAAATGGTGTATTCTTTGTTGCTAATGCATTTTGCTGCTAATGTGTTGACTAAGAAATAATAATTTTACACTCGTATCACTAGGCTTATTTATAAGTCCGTAAATATCTAATTTTTGGATGGATAACGTTTCAAGGCCACTAATTAAAAATAAAACAAGGCAAAATACCGTCCGTCTTTCCTCAACTGAGCTTTTCTTAAGGCAGTTTTTGCCGCGCACCACCACTATGTGGAACCAGCTGCCCCCTGAATTATTTCCGAACCAAATCAACTAAGGGTCCTTCAAGAAAAGAGCGTACCAATTCTTGAAAGGCCGGCAACGCACTTGCCAGCCTTCGGGTGAGTGTCCGGCGGTATCACTTAAGATTAGGTGAGCTTTCTGCGCGTTTGCCTCCTATTACATAAAAAAAAACACTAGTATTTCTTGATTACTTGGAATTTGGAAATAAAATTACGTATAGTAGATAGAAGAATTCAACATAATAAGTTTGCGAGGCAGTCTCAATAACTATTTTATATATCTCTATTTTCCAGATCCACAGGTATGAATAAGTATAAAAATTTGATTCCAGACATTCGATCACCACTGCCCGTGGGTGAACAACTGCATAGGTCGGCGGAACTACAGATTCTTCTTTTTCTTTCTTATTTCACTCTCCATACACATGCTGAGCATTTTTGGCCTCAGCCTGTACTACATCATGAACCACAACAAAACGCTCACACAGGTTGAGCCCATTGTGTCGTATCCTTTTATAATTTACGAATAGAAAACTATTTGTTTGGCTTTGGTTCTTCTTAGATAAGAGAGCTTTGTAACTCTAAATAGCAGTTGAATTGAAACAACATTGGCAGAATTTAAATTACTTGGGTTTTATAATGAAAAGAGGTGACGATAGAACTTGGAGAAACTGATATTGGTTGGTCACACAGAAGGCATGAATCACGTGATACAACCAGATGGATCGATCAAGTGAAAGACGCATCGTCTTCAAACTACACTAACTACTAGAGATAACCCGACGGTTCGATGTCGTTTGAGTTCGATTTTCAACACTAAATAAAGAACACAGCTTACACAAAGTTTAGCATTCTATGTTGAACGAAGAAGAAATTGCAATATAATCTGTGTTCATATTTTATTAAGTATAATATGTCGCAGCCAACTAGCCATTCAATTAACAGCCTAGCCTTTTAACTAAACAGCTTGATTTTGATCTCTGATGAGTAAGCTTTCCTTGCGTTGGGGTCGTTTAAGTATTACGTAAGGGGGGTTCTTTGATTTTCTTATTTGGTGATTACGGCAACAGTAATTATTTACTTTTTATGCATTATCTATGCTTGAAACCAAATGCATTTCGAGGATTTCTTCAAAAAATATACGTTTATGTACTATTTACCTTTGAGAGCTTTGCTTACTTTTGCTGACTAGATAGAGGATGGATGGGGGGATAACTTGCAGTAAATCTGACATTTCTCGAACGGCCCCATTCTGTTATGATCACGTGTGCTGATATTCCGCTGTATAAAGAACACAGATCATAGTTGATTTAGGTAGGACCTAGGAAGTTTAAAATTGTGACATTTTCCTTAAAACACAAATCAGAATGGTAATAATGGGTATAATAGCCCTTTTAGCGATCCCGATATTTGGTTTAACGGGTTTTCATATGGTGCTAGTGTCAAGGGGACGGACGACCAACGAACAGGTGACGGGCAAATTTACGGGCGGATACAATCCTTTCTCAAGGGGATGTTGGTCCAATTGTTGTTATACGCAGTTTGGACCGCAGTATCCTAGGTGAGTATTACAAATATTCAATGATAAACCGACGGATGTCGGATGTCGAGGCAGAATAAGACGTCCGTCGTTCCACAACTGAGCGTTTTTGCCGCACACCAATTGTGGAACACATCTTGTTATTCCCGCAAAAGTATTTTGCGAACCATTTCGACTAATGGTACTTCATATGAGCGTTGCAAATCTTAAATGGCCGGCAACGCACTTGCGAGCCCTCGGGCAATGTGTCTATGGGCGGTGGTATCATTTAACATATAACATCAGATGAGCCTCATGGCCGTTTGCCTCCAGCTACATAAAAATAAAATGACTTCCAATTTCATTTACTTGAGATATCTACTGAAACGATCTTGATAAAAACTTTTATTGTTATCACATCCATATATGTATTAGTATTTGATAAAATTGTGGACAAACATACATTATAACATTTTGCATTTAAAATAATAGCCTTCACTAACGTATACTAAGCAAAAAGTATAATAATTTAGGAATATGAGAAAAAGTTTTAGGTACTCCAAAAGTAAAATCCCCATTCAAAATCCGGCCAAAATAGATCCTCAAATAACCCTAGTGTTTCCTAGTAATTTCTTCTAAAATCATGTCAGTTTCTTAAGTAATCAGTTTTATATTAAGAATCATGTATGTTACATAGAATAATTTTAGAAAAGCCAAGGTGGGGCATGGCAAACAAAGGTTGGGAATTACTTACTAAACAAAACTAACTAAGTAATAAATTACGAAACAAATAAACATTACATTTCGGTTTTTGTCAGACTGACTTTGTACCGTTGTTTATTTATTTATTAATAATGAACTGACGACACAACAAAAATGTACAAAAAAAATATATACAAATTGTACGGTCCTGGGTCATAGGGGTGCTTAAAATAATAGAGGATTTTATTTTTACTCTATATTAAGAATTTGCGTACAAATATAATACATCTGGCGTCTGGCTATACTCTCTGAGAGTAACTCTTGCTTATAAAACTTAGAAAGCCTGAGTAAGCAAAATCTACAGCCTTGACTCGTACAAAAGTTAGAATTTTTGAAGTGTCAGTTAACTATTTCAAAGAATTTTCTTGTTTAAAGTTAGCTAAGATAAGATTTTTTTTATATATAAACGTTTGGGCAATTAAAAGAAAATAACAATAGACACGAAAATGTAAACACAGACATTTGTACATAAATTACAAACGATTTTAAAAGGCGCTTCATTCGACGGAGCATGTAGTAGGGTTCCAAGAAATACCTGTATTTTCTTACTAAAAAGGCTCCTAAATCTTACACTTTATAATGAATTGTTGGCAATTAAGAATTTAAAATATCTCTTTTATTAGGTTGTGTAATCGTCGAATAAATTACGATGTCCATTGAAGTGCTGTGACAACAGAATGCTCGAAAAGTTAGTGAATCTATTGTTTGTAGATTGGAAATCGTAGTGTATTGACAAACAGCCATAATATTTTTGGTATATTTACTAATGTACACTTATTTCATTGTAAGAAGTGAATTGGAGTTACATAGTTTATATATTAATTGCAGAGCAACTAATTTCTTTATATAGCTTATTTTCTATAATTTCATTACAAGATGTATACCCTATAACCTAACCTGTCTTAAATTTAAACTTTCTCACAAAGCGAATGTAATTCTTTGACAAATAAAGTATCTTTGAGCCGAAGTACTCAAGTACATTATAAAAAACCATATACGCAATACATTTTTAAACCATCTATTTTCACATGCAACATTCATTTATTTATTCACAAAAATACATACACTATCCTAACAGTACTAAGCCAATACGATAATATCGAAATTAATAATATATACCGATATCGCTACTGTGAAATTACGCTGCGAACATATAAAGATGCCAATTGTTTCGGCGCCATTCAGTAGGAGCAACGTCTTTGTTTAAAGGGGATCGGTGCAACAGAATGGTTCTGGCTCTTAAAATACTTGCAAAGTTATTAAGTATAGCCCTGCCAATAAGACGGCCAGTTACGCAGAATTTTGAGGTTTTGCTACTATAAGCGGCTTGCATCACCACATACATTCGGTTTCTAGCCAAAATAACTGAATTTCAGTAAACATCGACTTAAATCGAATTATAATTAAAAAAAAAAAAAAGTATATTTTTTAATAAATTGTGTATCGATTCCAGTCTAGTCCGGCCATCAAAGTACATGTACAAGAGCAGTAAGAAACGGCGCGAAATGACCGCGATGAACGCGGGCATAGCGACGATAGCGTCGGGCGCGCAGGTAAAGACGTATACGGCGGACAACGGGGCCGCGCATCGCCCGCTCGGCGCGCACGCGCACTACAATAAGGTGAGGGCCAGACGCTTGCTTCGCTTGGCTTGGGTCGATGGGCTGTGTGGGGAAGACATCTTTGACATTAACTATTATGTTATATTTATATCACTCAATGATTATTCATTACACATTTAATGAAAAATCTGATTGTTTTGAGAGTGTAATCAACAAAACTATTATTGTTTTAAAAGACTATTTAGCTTTTAACGGTTTTCCAAAAATTTTGCCACATTTATATATAGAGATATTTGTTCCGTTTCACAGAAAAATATTCTTGCACTTAATAACTTATTTATTATACAATATATTAATTTAAATTTGTGACGTTGTGGGTTTTAGGAGTCTTTCTCCCACACAAACCTATCAAAGCCATCTTTAGATTTCACATGAGCACTCGTATATATTCATAAAAACTAGATCAGTTTATTTGTCTCTTTTCATCGCAGCGTAAACACAATTTGAGAGAGAGACAAAAGTGTTACTGGGGCCGTTCAAGTATTACGTAACCAATATAGGGGTCTTTGATTTTTTTATTTAGTGACTATGTCAACAGTTATTATTTACTTTTTTTACACATATTACCCACACAGGGTCTATGCTTGAAAACGAAATGCATTTCCGAGGATTCCTACAAAAAAATAATACGTATATGTACTATTATTTTTGAGAGCTTTGCTTACTTTTGCTGACTAGAGGAGAGGGGGGGTCAATTGCAGTAAATGTGATACTGGAACGGCCCCACTTAAACTCAAAATCAAACTCAAAATATCTTTATTCAAGTGGGTAACCATGTACACTCTTGAATTGTCAAGTTAAATTAATTGTAAATTTACATTTACTACCAGTTCGCAAGTCAAGGGCGTAGAGCGGGTAAGAAGAACTGGCAAGAAACTTTCCGCCACTCTTTTTAATCGCCTAGTATTGTCATACTAATTGTTTGAACTGGAGCCAATCAATCCCAAGGATTAGGATCATTAAAGTATTCCTCAAATTTATAAAACGCTTTATTGATTAATTGCCGTTTAACGAGGGCTTTGAATTTATTTAGTGATAATTCTCTAATTTCGCTTGGGAGTTTTGTGTAAAAACGAATACAATTTCCATATAAGGAGTGGTTAGTTTTAGAAGAGTGCAAATAGACTGAATCTTTATGAATATGGTTAATTCTCCAATCTTAAATTACTTAATAGAAATAAAACATTGCTAAGTAGTGATATTTTATTTGCAAATAGCATCATTAAGTCACGCTTGTAGAGCAATTACATACCTTCAATTCACTGCTATAAAGTTTATTTTCCTTTGAGCACTGATATAGTGAATTGAAGACATGGGTATGTCTGGCTCTCAATGTCGAGGGAGGTATTATTAAACTAATTTGAATGTGTTTGTATTAAAGGCTTGGGTTTGGGTGGAAGGGAAGTTGCACTGGAATATTAATGTTACAATTAAATTACAAATTAAAGTAATCTCGATCTATACACCTATTAATAATAATAAAAATAATAATAAGCCTCTTATCCTGAACTGTTTCTTTGACTTTGTGGTTGACTCTTATCTTTAAGTTATAAAATAAAATATCTCTGATTTCAGTGTGCCTCTTGGTACACCTATAAGTTGGGTAGTTAATTAACTCCATTACAGCCAAATTGTTAAGCAGATATGGATAAATTTTGGCATAAATATCGATTATAGTCTGTATAAGATACATTTCATTTTCGTGTATCTTTTTCGTGAACTTTTAATGAAAGAAAGCACTAAATTTTTTTGTTTGTGACTATATTTGTTTTAATTTAAAAAATTGTCAGCTTTGGATGACAATAAAAAATTGGTACCGGCAGTGAAAAAGCCTCATTAGTTAAACCCATAGCTCCAAACATTCCAGCTATCCCCTGGGCGCGACGAGCACGAAGGTGAGATGGAGGGGCCCGGGGCTTCGCAGTCGGCGGATTGCGAGCCGACGCCCCCGACCCTGCAGCGACGGGGCTCTTCGGCCAACTTGTTCCCGGAGCCCCACCATCATTTACCACCGCGGCCACACCACTATCCGCGGTTGAGTCCGCTCTCTAGGAATACTAGGTACGTATTACGTTCCCCAACTAATAAATGGACAGAATTACGAAATTTCTAAGTTTTCTGATAGTAAAAGACTGGTCAGGAATAGACTATAGACGACACGACTGAGACTTCGGGTCATAAATCATATTTATCTGTCTGTCTCGCTCGCACTTACAGGTCTTATGGAGAAGTGTATTGATGTGCGTAAGAATTGTAGACGTGCATATCGATAACGGTACGAACGATATGCTAAAATATTCTTATAAATGATTATTAAGACTTCTTGAGCATTAAACAAGGGAGTGGGAGAAAGTTTGCGCATCGTACACATACGAGCAAAAAGTGTATATTTTATTTAACTGTAGAATACATTTTACGTAGATAACTTTTAAAAATAGGTAGTTTTAATTTTTGTAGATTGGTTGTTAAATATCATTTTTACTACCTTCTAAAATGTGATAACAAGAAATGAAAACCGGTCAAGTGCGATTCAAGCCATACCAGGAAAAAAATTAAAGAATATATTTGTTAATATAGGATTAATTTTTCGCTATCAGAAACTTTTTAATTTGTTTTTAATGTTTGTTTTGACGTAATCATAGAGAAACTGTATAGATCGTAATGTGACCTAAAAAGGGCCGTTTTTATTTTTTTAGGGATATTTCTTAGTTCTTCGAAAACAAATGAGGATCCGTAACTTTCCCATCTGTATCATCTTCCTGTAGGTTAATTATCTGAGGAGGTGCTTGATCTCTTAAATACTTACACTACTTTTTCGGTGGAGAACTTTTTTAGTAGCAACACTTATGAAATTCTACGGAATTAAAAATCAGAGTACATTGAAGTGTTTTGGCGGTTTCTCGAAAATGAAAGCTTAATTTTTAAAGCTAATTAACAGAATTAAATAACAATTATTTATGTAAGTTCTATAGTCACTAATACGTAATCTGAAATAGTTTTAAAATCTTGTCACTTGATATTTATTATGTTTTTTTTTCATGTCAGTCACGGTGGTACAACCACATCAGGTTACCGTGTGGTGATGGAGCCCCTCCGCTACGACCCGGGCTCCAATGGTGGGGCCAGGCCCTCCCCTACAATGCAGCAGAGGATCAAAGCTCTCGGCGTGCCCACGCCTTTAGCGCTCAGTAGTCCTGTGCGCAGGTAAGAACTGTCCGGTTTCTGTTTTTAACGGATAACGAAGCGTTGGATTTGGGGGCAATAGGTGTGGGAAAATTTTTGAAAAATATTTTTTGATGGCTTTAAAAAATTATTGAAATTACTACTAAATATTTTTCAAATCTGGTTCCTACTGTGACGTATCGTTATTTGTAGTTTGAAAATGGGAATCGGGTGTTGAAATCTGAAGTAAAACAACTTAGTCACAGTCATTATAACACGGTAGATTGGTTCCGCGTTGTAGGAGTGGTCTCGCATAACGCGCTTGTAGACCCATATAACGCGTTATGTACAAATGATTTACGTGTAACATTATTCGTTAAAGGGGATTTAAAGCGACTATTAAAGAAAACCTAAGTTATGAACGAAATAATTATGTACTTACCAATTGTTAAAAATGTCACAGTACAGAAATATAACGCGGGAAATCCCCACGTTATATGAGGGACTGAAATCGCGTAATATGATAAAAGCGTTATAAGAGTACCGTGTTATAAAGGGGACTGTATTTTAATAAAATTTGTACCGTAATTAAAAATGAAAATATGTATTGGCGGCCATACTGAGTCGTTCATTAATGGTCTAATGATAGATTAATATATAAAGAATGCCTAAAAATGTACGTAGTCGGTCCCAAAGTTCTGTCATAAATAGAAATAATGATAAAAACTAAAGTACTGATCAGTTTTTAATGAGTGATATATCAATTAATAGTACATAAATTAAGAAATAAAAATAGCATAAAAATATTCGAAATAACCTCCCTCATTTTTAATACAGGCCCTTAAGCGCCGCGGCCAGTCGTCTATCGCAGCACGCACCATATTCATGTCGATTTCAGTGACTGCTTTTTTTAAAGATGACTTCAGACACTCCAAATTTTTATGGGGTTTATCACAGACCTTCCTCTCTAAGACCTGCCAAATTTTATAGTCCAAAGGATTAAGGTCTGGACTGGAGGAAGGCCAATCCTCATGTCTAATTAAGTCGATGTTTTGACGCTCAAACCAGGTTTGAGTGGTCTTGGCTTTGTGTGCAGGCGCAGAGTCCTGTTGGAACACAAAGTGATGTCCCGAAAATAGCGTGCTGGGCAGGTCTTTGACAAGCTGGTCCAAATCCGTGTCTTGATACACTTTTGCACTGGTTTTGACCCCCTTTTCGCAAAAATGAACCTCAGTTGGCCCGTAATAGGACACTCCTAACCAGACCATTACTGATGATGGATGATGTCCATGTTGCACCCTCGGAACTTTATTTCCAGCTTCTTCAGAACTCCTAGCGTACACTCTATCATTCTGTTTATTGTACTTCTCTTCAATATCGAAAAATTTTTCGTCCGTAAAGAGGATATCACGGTGTCGGTTTTTCGCGTACCGCTTTAACAAACCCCGCGATCTCTTAAGCCTTATTGCTTTTAGACGAGCATTAAGTAGGTGCCCACTCTTTCTTTTGTATGCCCGTAGACCAAGATCTTCATTTAAAACCTTTTTTACTGTTTTCCTACTGACACCCATCTGCAAAGCCATCAACTTCTGTTTTCGGACAGGATTTCTTGCTATCCGCAGCTTGATAGCTTTGATCACTGCTGGTGTCCTTGCGGAGCGTGGCCGGCCAGTTCTTTTCTTGTCCTCAACACTGGAGACTTCATTGTACCTATCAATAGTACGGTACACAAACCTAAGCGTTATATTTAAATTTTTGAGCAACTTGAAAATGGTACTCGCCGAGTGCCCACAGCGGTGCAACGCAATAACAGCTATTCGGTTTTCTTTCAATGTCCACTCCATCTTGAAAATTTACGGAAAGTGATTGTTTTTTGTTTTAAAACAATAGTCAAACAATCAAAAATAGAATGCAATAATTTTTTTATAAAATCATGTTCGTAATTTAAAAATAATGTGCCAGTGACAGAACTTTGGGACCAACTACGTATAATAAGTAATCGGTTTTTACCATACGGCAAAGACTTTTTTAATTTTCACTTAAATATAATGAGCGACTAAGTACGGCTTAATTTAATTAAAAATATTCAATGACTGAAATTTCGAAGCGCTTCATTGCTTTGAAATCTCATCAGCGATCGCGTGTACGTCTTCATGTCGACAATGCTTTAGCTCCGAGTTAACTTTAAGTTACATTTCATGACCTTTTCCAAACCCGTCTTTTTCACGATGATTATATGTACATAATATTGATAAAGTGCTTTGGAAAGATTTGTTTAAATGTTTATTACTATCTACAGAGATAGTAATAACCAATAAATAGCAAAGAAACTATTTTTCAAAAGTAAATTTAAATCAAACATAGATTACATAAGTTAACGTAAATAAGTATATATGATGATGAAGAGGGATTGTTAATATATATATGAATAAATAAAACATGAAATAGGAATTAACACCAACTTTAATTGGATAGCTTAACGTAATATTAGAAGAACAAATGTTCTATAAAAAACTTAGAGTGCACGTACGTGTACGTAATAGAGTAGATTAAGTATACAGAAATATGAAAATAGAAAAGAATAAGAACGTTAGAAATAAAACATTTAAAAAAAACTAGCATTTCCTCCAAATGTGTAATTTGTGTGTTTAAAAATTGTGTAAAATTTCAACTAATTGATTAAAAATTGGCAAATGACAAATATAATCGACAATTAATATGTTGGTATCTGTGGATATATCCATTATATATATATAATCTTCGTGAAAAGGTCCGTCCTAAAATGTTGTCAAGACTCCCGTCCAAGCATTGCTTCCTTTAAATGTTAGATAGTTTTATTATTTGCATGTATAATTGTTTGCATCATGGGTAGACTAACAATTATTTGCTTGATCATATTGAGTTAATAACTCCTTGAGGGTTTATATAACGGGCAGGGGGTACAACTAATTCTTTTAAAGTAGTCTTTTGTCCCTTTCTCTCAAATTGTATTTACGCTGTGATGAAAAGGGACAGATGAGTATATTTTAACTGGAGTAGTCTTTTGTCTCTATCTCCCAAATCGTATTTACGCTGTGATGAAAAGAGACAGATGAGTACTTACGATAACTATTCAATTCGAATGATTTCTATGTACAGAGGGTAAATATTTACGCGTTTCTAAAGGGAAATTTGAATGATATAATAAATAATCAAACATCTTGTGAAATAGCTAAGTCTTGCTTTTGTATGCTTGATCCAAATGGTTAAAATTCATATTTTTTTATTTTTCATAATGTGATACTAAAATGTAATTATGATTATTAAATACACTATTTTCTTTACTACCAAACTAAGGAGAGTAGAGAATGTAATGTATTTTCAAGTAACAGGCATAGATTGGCATTTAATCAGGAAATTTATTGCATTTTGATGCATTAAGAAATATGTGTATAACCTAAGCCCAAAGGCGATTGTGTTTTGTTCTTATCATTCGTGGCACTTAAAAAGCACAAAGATGTGAACCTCAGCTATTGTTTACATATTAAATATAATTTTAAAGTAAAATTTGGTCAGTCGAGTTGACTTCAAATCAATTTTTTTTTTCATAATTTACACTTACTATCAGTTCCTGGCAAGAAACTCTCCGTCAAGTTTTGATGTATGTTCAAGGAAATGGTAACAACCCTTACGCCATGCTTCAAATTCAAACTCAAAATAACTTTATTCATATAGGTAACCAAGTACACTTTTGAACGTCAATAGAAAAGATGTTTAATTGATTCTAAATTTACATTTACTGCCAGTTCGCAAGTCAAGGGCGTAGAGCGGGCAAAAACTGGCAAGAAACTCTCCGCAACTCATTTTAATCGCCAAGTTTTGAGTCATACAAATTGTTTGAATTGAAGCAAATCATTTAAATCAAGGGCCATTTAAATGATCGATTAATTTACGTTAATTGAGAGTTTAGAATTTATTTGGTGATAATTCTCTAATTTCGCTTGGGAGTTGTTGTAAAAACAAATACAATTTCCATATAAGGAGTGGTTTATCTTTTGGAGCCTGGTTGGTCCAATAATTAGATTTGTCGAGTATTATACTGGTGAAAGTTAAATTCGTTTATATTTTTCACTTTATTATTGAAAAATATCAATAATAAAGTTACAATTGCTCAGACATCAGCGAGCAAAACAAACGCACTTTTACTTTAGTGAGAACAAAACACATATTTTTAATCCAAGAATATTTATATATACTGTAATAGGATGAGGGTAGGGACAAATTTTATATAATAATACATATGGTCTAAGATCCCGCTATACAACGACCTTCACCGAGATGCTTATTTAATGAAACTTATTTTATATATAATTTAATATGTCAATAAATATAATCCATATGGGTTGCCTAGCAAATTTCAGTCCATAGTATTTTTAATTAATTAAAAAAAAAATTTTTTTAAACATTTCACCGGTATGATTATTAGATAAATTCTATACCAATCGAAAGTATGAAGCCCATAGAATATGCAAAAAGTTAGGTTGTTTTTAATCAATTTCTTATTTATGTGTATATTTTTTATGTGACACTAAAGTATATATACATCTTTAGTATAAAAGAAGGTTATAGTGATACATATATAATACTACCCTGATTAAAAATATTGATTGAAAAAAGTTCAAAAAATTTACTACATGCTAATTATAAAAAAAATTTTTTTTAATATTAATTAAACATACTCTGGACTGAAATTTGCTAGGCAACCCATATGGATTATATTTATTGACATATTAAATTAAATATAAAATAAGTTTCATTAAATAAGCATCTCGGTGAAGGTCGTTGTATAGCGGGATCTTATAATACATAGGAACTATGCCTGTTATCTATGTATGAAATGTGTATATAAAGTGAAGGTTGCTTACCGCGGCAGATGGACATAACGCATAGAGCCGACGTGTCGACGGTAACTAGTAGTGTGTGGGATGGTGGAATGTGCTAGAATAGTTGTCATCTACCATTTCAGATGCACTCATTTCATATCAATACAATCACTCGATAAATATCATTTAAGAGTTTATTTTACGTAGCAAAAATCAGTTAAACACAGTTTAAATTACATTTTCACTCCACCATTTCATTTCGTGTTCGAAACGCTTATTACAATCAAGCTTGTTTCTAACTTTATTGAGACTATCGGTTTTGAGTACAGACACAAAACTTTCAGGTATTCTGAGAAATTGCAGAAAATAGTTACCTCAAGTGAAATACTAAGTAAGCAGATTTACTGCAATTTATCCCCCCCTCTGGTCAAAAGTAAGCAAAGTTCTCAAAAATAATTGTACATAAACGTATTAATTTTTTGTAGGAATCCTCGAAAATAAAATGCATTTCGTTTCCAAGCATAGACAATGTGTGGGTAATATGTGTAAAAAAGTAAATATTTACTGTTGACGTAATCATCAAATAAGAAAATCAAAGATCCCCCCTTCCCCCTATAGTGCTTACTTGAACGGCCCCTACCACTTCTGTTCTATGATCTATCATATCTCTTCACTACATAAGTAAAACGCTTATTGTCTCGCTTCAACATATGGCATTTGAGTTAGACAGAACGCATAAATCACTTCATACAAACTTCATATCATATAGATAATCATGTGTGTGTGTCTTTTGTAGTTTCCTAGCTATTTTAGGCGCATAACGCTAGGTGTCCCCGGAGCATTCATACAAAATTTCATATTTGTACTTTCGACGATTGACCACTTTTAAGTGGAGAGGGAATATGCACAGCTGCTTTTTAATCAGAATTCAAATACGACTTTAAACTAAAATCTTTGTCAACTTCTGTTTTGGGAACTGTATTATTTTGAGGGAAAGTATTATGGAACTTAAATAAAGTCATAGCCTTGGTCAAGTATGGATGCTCGTGATAGAGAGAAAGCTCGTTGGTAAAAATATATTAATATGCATGGTTTTTTTTGCAGAAGAAATTTGATTTTATCCTTTGAAATTTGATCTGTGTAATCTGATATGGCATTTGTGTCTCGGAATTCTGTGCAGTTGTAAATTGATAAATATCAGAATACAAGGATATGTAGCCTGCAGTTTACACATATTTAGTGAGTAGTGGTTCTAGACGGTTCTTTCTAACAATTTCTTTTTTCTTGGTGCTAATACTAAATAGAACCATCTAGAACGAACTCGCTCGGTAGTAGTAGTGTAGTGTACAGTTGGCATGGCGTCGCATGCTCTCCGTAAACGCCGTCTCGACTCGGGCCCGTTCAGAACAAGCTGTTGGCAACAGGTGCTGGTTTTCCTTTCATAGATTAGTCGAGGTTTTACTGGTCCGCTTGTTATTAACGCTCATCCAGTAGCGGTAGTACCTCCTTTCAAATGTTATGGGCGAGTACGTTTTACGTTTCGTCCGGCCTGACTGCTCGTCATAATCACTTAAACACTTGCCACAATAACGATCGTAAAGCGAATTCGACCCTTTCGTTGCAATTAATGAAATCTCAATGGTATTCTGAACGCGAGTCGAGGGGCGCCGGACGCTTCTCCCCGCAGCTCCCTTCTCCTTCTGTCCGTAGGCCGTACGATAATAGCGAGCGCTCGGACGAGCTCGCGCGATTAAACCCCTGACGTGAGCGCCGCGCACAGGTCCAACCCGGGCACGCCCACGCAGCCGCGCCGGCCTGACTTCATCGGGGTGCGGGGCTCGCCGCAGCGGAGGTTCCTCTCCGAGGGCGAGCTGCTGCGTGACGCGGAGGACATCCGCGAGCTGGCCGCTTCCCCGCAGCGCGGGGGCTACACGTGGGCCGATCGCGCCCCACCGCACGCCCCGCACCCTTCGCACCCCTCGCACCCCACCCTCCCGCATCCCGCGCCCTCGCCCCTGGCCCGCCGCCGCGCGCCCCACTCGGCGGTACCACGCCCTACGCGCCCCCTCTCCTTCGTCCGGGCCCTTGAGGTGCAGGAGCAGCTCGAACGCACGCAGCAGCCCGAGCCCCCCGATCGCGCCTCGGTCTACGACTGCAACTACGAGATCTCCGTCTGAAACCTTCGCGTAGGACAGTGTTACCCCAAAGACAGCGCACAATGGATGCGATCATGCCATATGCCGTGCGATGTGTGTGATTTATTTGTACATAGCGTTGTGACTCCGACATAATATTAGTATAGATTGTGTATTTATTTATTCAAAATTTTTGACTTTGTATCGGTGACGTTACGATTGCGTCGCGATAAAGTTTGCGAATAACACACTGAACCCTGGTGATAGTGTTCGAAAAACTTCTATTGTATCGATGAATAGACAGCAACCAAACGATAGTGGATTGATAAAATATGAGTAACGATTTTAATGTTTATAAAAATCGGTACGATTCGAGAACTTTGCGAACGATGCGTTCGCCAAACAGCTATTATGAGAAATGTGCCAAATATTAAGTAGATGGATTGTTGGGCCCCAATATTTCTTCAATAATTTGAGCGTGTTAATTCAAATTTTCCTCGCATCTGATACGATTTTTCAGATCTCGTTCCGAGTTATTTACGGCCCACACAAAGTACTTAGATGTTTTGTGAATGAACGCATGTTTATTTGACGTATCTTATAAGATGAAAGTTAAATAAAATAAGAATATTATTTGCTTTAGTGGTAGATAGATGAGATTATATATTGTAAATAATATATTTATGACGACAGTACCATACGATTTGTTCAATGTATATAATACGTAATAAATGGCGAAATTTAAATCGAAAGTATTACATATATATTTATATACCTTGATTATGTACAGTCACCGATTTATTTAAGATTGTAAATATATTTAAGGGTGTAAATGAGTTTTCGTTGATTGCTATGTAAAAATTTGTTTATGGTGCCAGTATCGATTTTCCTATTTGACATATCAGTAGCGCCTTTTCAACAACTGACATGTGTCAACTTTACTTGTGTGACACATGACAGTACTATTTGAATGCCCATTTGTTTATGTTCTGTAATACATTGGACTATTTATTAATATTACGAAGAGTTAAATAATACTGTGGTGTGTTGATAAATCGCCGGTACGATTTTAGTTTGCATAGAAATAGTTTTCGGCCTATAAAATTTTTATTTAGTACCTTTCTTTACATTCCGCAGTGCAGTTTTCTTATTACTAAGGTTTTTTAAACTATTTTAAAACTTAATGCTATACAATATTTAGAATTTAGCAGACGTACTTAAACCGCGTGTAAATTTAATATCTAAGATGCATTTTCTCACAAATTTTCTTAGTCTGACCATGATACATTTTGAGCAATAATTAAAATAAGTTATAATATGGGCTGACAAAGAACCTGAATGTAATCACCTCATGACGAAATATAATATGTAGGTATTCAATAATAGCGTTGTCAGAGACTATCGAAAGTTTGGAAGTTACGAGGAATTCCTAAGAGGCATTATTAGGTAATTCTTCCACTCATTGTAATTCTTTTGGAGACTTGGAAAGTGCATCGCAAGTTGTTCTGTAATAATTTGATAATTGGGTAATAGGATATAAATTCTAAAGTTTTAAACGGTGAAGTTACCACTGGTCTTCATAAAAGTACTTACTTTTATTAATCTTCAAGTAATGTGTCATTACGTTTCATACGGGAGTCTCACACAGTGTGATGCGGATGATAGCCAGCCCGGTGATGCCAACTCCTACAAAATATTCCCCCTGTAACCAATTTCAAATATCCCTAAATATTGACTAAATTTTTATTGCACACTCGGAATAGTATAAAATTTCGTTCTTGGAGCTTTTGATATTTCAGTTATAGCCACGATTGGAGTTTATATTTGGTTTAGTTTTTTATTGGGTTATAATATGCATATAGGCATAATATAAATTGTGTAGAATTAAGCGTATTTATTTAGGAAAAAAATCTTGTATTAATTAGCCCTACAAATCCCCCTAAATAAATGTATCTCATAAAGACCCCCAGGAAATCTTGATTCTCCCTAAATTTGGGGGGAAAACACCCAAGTTGGCATCACTGAGTCAGCCATTACTTCTACCTAAGTACCTATAAAAAAGTAAATCAACACTTAAAGTGCCTCAAATAGCTGTCATATATTATGTGTATTGTCAAACTAACTGTCATTTTTCACCATTTGAGGCGTATAGTACATTTATGAACGGCCGTTAGATTTTATTGGAGTGGATTATTATTAAAGACATGTGGTTGAGGATATATGACTAAACGTGTGATTAGAATTCTATAAAATTAAAATTCCACTGCTAACATGACGTATAAAACTAAGAAATTTGCTTTTTGAAATCTATAAAATACTATAAATTATCTCTATTAAATGTTTCCTGTCAAATTTGTGTGACGTGTGTCATGTCTGATTGGTGAATTGATTGACGTCGAATAAAACAATGAGAAGCGAGACCGGGATACTCTTGTGGTTTGATACAAGTCTTAATTCTGATGTACGTTTTAAAAAGAAAGCTCTCAAAACTTTTTGTGTAATGATGTATGTCTATTGAGGAAATCTTTAACCTTTTTTCAAATAATTTGATAAAAGTGTTTATAAGAGGACGATTAAGACTACTTCACCTAAGAAATTGTACTGAAAAAGGCATATAATATATACGACGTGGTTTAAAGTTAGTCCTGTACTTGTCACCATGGTTACCATTGTTTTTTATAGAACATCGTCACCATGGTAACAAACTCGGTTCTAACTCAAACAAGATTCATAAACGTGACTGCGTTATACTCTGATTTTTCATTCCGTAGAATTCTGACATTTCATAAGTGTTGCTACTAACAAAGTTCTCCACCGAAAAAGGGACAAATTTGACTTATTTAAGGGCAATAAAAAAAAATGCTACGTATTTTATGTTTTACCTACAAAAAGGTACTTAAATCTAAATATTTACTTACTCAAGTGACCTCATTACAAAAATAACAAATATTTCAATATAGCGAATTAACTTCAATTAGGTACTTTATTTAATTCTTTAGCTGGCATCACTGCCTACTAATTCCAGGTTTACTAAAAAAATAAAATGTTATCTTTACTTGTGCGTTTTTTAACTGTTGTTAAGAGACGTAATTATCACTCGCCGTTAAACCCCCTTGTGGAGCACCGCACTTAATAAAATGGATATATTAACTAACAATAAAATGTATGTATAGACTTAGATGTTCAGACTCGTATTGAAATTGAAAAATATGTGAAAAACCAAAAAGGTTTACCAGAGATGGTATGTCACACGTTAAAAAATAATAGCTGTCAGAATTCTACGGAATTAAAAATCAGAGTCTGCCGTACGTCAAATCTGTATTCAATTTGATATACGGGAGTGTTATTTCGCGCTAAGTTTCGTCGTCTGAATCTTACACTAACTTTACGTTGAAAATGCCATTAAACATTGTAGTGAGTTGTACATCAGAATTAAAGTATCGAAAATTTTCATAATGACTTATTGCTTATTCACTTGGCGTTACATATAAAGGGTTTTAACATTTCCTTAAATGGCATGTTGTTTAATGTTGATTTAAGTAATGCGTGTTGTTAATTTGTCCATAAAATTTAAGTTAGGTGTTATTTAGCTCAAAGTGTGGTTGAACGGTTAGTACTGCTATGTACCATGCAGTTGACTAAGACTAATGTGTATAGTACCTCCTCAAAAATCGTTATTACCTACGTGTACGTGACAGTGTTTTATTTTTGTATTTTGATAAAATTCGTGTAAATAATTTTCTTATTTTATTGATATTAAACTCAATTAATCAATGACGTGTATACTTATTTCGGAACCCGTTAAATTACATAAGTTGTCTTCTTATCTATTTATGGGATCTCAATCAATATTTTTTTATATAATCTGAGCTGCCGCTCTAGTCGATTCGATGTTTTTTCAACCAACCAGGCTGGTTTTTGTGGTCATAATGTTACAGATACTAATTTTTTAACGAAATAAAAAAACTTTTTAAATTGTAAAGTTTATTATTACTATCAAATTTTATTCAGCCACATTCGTCGAAGACCAGCCACTTTCCGCGGCTTGATCCCATTGCGTTGCGTAGAGATGATGGTATCTGTATCTTCTAACGCATTTACAATGAAAGGTGTTTATAGAAGTTGTTTAGACTAATACCTGCAGCTGAGTTTCATCATCAGACGTCAAGGCAGAATACAAAATACGATCCGTATCACCTCGACGTCCGTCCTTCCACAACGGATTACTGCGGGCCTACCATGAGCTACCTTAAAACATCCAGTTGACATGCAAATAGAGTTTAGGTTCCAAAATTCAGTGGATTTTTTTCTTACAATGACCTATAAACTGAAACGTATAGGAATCGACCGAACGAAATAGTTTTGTTTGATATATGAGGTATTTTATGAAAGGTTTGAAATTTAACTGTCAATCTTGCTTCGACAGTTTATTGAATAGTAAATAAAATCTAAAAATTATTTTCATCAATCACAATAAGCATATACATAAGTTTATATATACTGCTCAAAACAATTAGCGGAACAAGACTTTTCTCCTTTCTATTGCTTAAACTAAAATTAGATTTAAATTAACTTGTACGCTATTTTTTACCTTGTTAATTTGTTAATTACTACAATTAATAAAAAAAATCAATTTGTATTTTTTTATTAAAAAAAAAATTAAAATGTGCATTGTAGACGAAAAACTAATTGGTGATAAAAAAGGTCCATCAAAGAAATATTCTTATATCGTTTGAATATTCGTCTTTAGTGACTTTCAGTAACGTGAGTGGCCTCCATGAGCCCTAATCACGGCTTGACAACGACGCGGCATGCTTCGTATGATCCTCCGAATATCTTCTTGTGGAATTCGCTCCCATTCTTCAATCAACGCTTCAGTGAGCTGCTGCAGTGTTTGAGGTGCAATGTCCCAAATGTGTTCAATTGGATTTAGGTCAGGGCTCATGGAAGGCCACTCCATTACACGGATTTCTTGCTGTCGTAAGTAATCTGACGTGATGGCTGCAGTATGCGGCCTGGCATTATCTTGCATTAAAAGAAAATCTGGGCCCATACCATATGCTGCGGGCCAAACATGATCTTCGAGCACGTTTTCAATGTAAGTTTGAGCACACAAGCGCCCGGGAACAACGACGAGATCTGTGCGCTCGTCCAAACTAACTGGACTGCTGCTGCACTGTATCGCCTGGGCGCCTGTAAACACGGAGACGACCATCGCAACGTGTTAGACGGAATCGTGATTCGTCAGTAAAAAGCACTGGCCTCCAATGTCGAAGTTGCCAATTAGCGTGATTTTGCGCGAACTGTCGGCGAGCTTGTCTATGTTGAATTGTTAGACGCACAGCCCGAACGGGTCGGCGTGATCTCAAATTGGCTTCCAACAACCTATTTCTTACCGTCTGGTCGGAAATTTCTACACCAGTAGCCGTCCTTAGTGTATTTTGTAGATCTCTTGCAGTTGTGGTGTTGTTACGTAAAGCACAGTTGACGATGTAGCGATCTTGCAAACGTGTAGTTTTTCTCTTTCGACCTTGACCACGCCTTCGTGAGTATTCTCCCGTCTCACGGTATCGCTTCCAAAGTCTGTAGATAACAGAAGGGGCTACTCCTCCTAGATCATTTCCTACATAACGCATAGTTCGACCCTCTTCAAGCAAAGCGATAGCTCTGGAGACATGCAATTCAGTCAGATCTGGCATTATGACCTAAACTCACTCGCTTCAATGAATAACAATACTCAAAAGGCTCACTTCAATTTCTATTAATACTCAAAAGATTGAAAAAAACTACTTAAAATGTGTTTTCTGTGATTAGAAAGTAATGAAAATTCAAAGACGTCACTGTTTTTCGTCTACAATGCACATTTTAATTTTTTTTTAATAAAAAAATACAAATTGAATTTTTTTATTAATTGTAGTAATTAACAAATTAACAAGGTAAAAAAATAGCGTACAAGTTAATTTAAATCTAATTTTAGTTTAAGCAATAGAAAGGAGAAAAATCTTGTTCCGCTAATTGTTTTGAGCAGTATATAACATTATTTAATAAATACTATTATTTTTATATATTTTAAACGTAAAGTTTTCTGGTGCTATCATTGTTGACAAATACACTTTTATACGTTTCCATCAAATGTTGATAGCAACTATCTCTATCTTGGCGTTTACAAAATTTCATCTTATAATTATAGTTAAGTATTATTGGGTTAAGTATTGTTCACAAATTTGTTTTGCAAAAATAAATAAATACCTATATATTGAAGTGATTTCTTGATGTAAATCCTCAAAAAATCGTTAGTAATTTTAATATAATATATTTGTACTACATTAGTACTACTATTGTACAGTGTGTAAATCTTATTATTTTTACTTTATGAAATAGTTTTAATTAAAAAATTGAATTTTATATGTTCTAACCTATTATTTGGACATTTTCAGTCAAAGTTTGGTTCAGTCGCGAGGTCATGGTACGCATTTTCATATAAATTGAATGAACGAAAACTGATTGTCGCTAAGGTCACATGGAAACATAAACGAACTGATTTTTTCGACGTCATGGTATGAATGCGTCTCTGTTATAGGTTGTCATCGAGGGTCCTTCAAGAAAAGAGCATACCAATATCTTATCTTATCAGGTATCTTAAAAAGGTGGCAACACACTTGCGAGCCTTCTGGCAATGTGAGTGTCCATCGGTGGCGGTATCACTTTACATCAGATAACCTTCTTCCTTTGACTCCTGTTATATAAAAAAATGTAAAACTTACAATTTCTGGTGAAATAATATATTTTCAGTATTATTGAAAGATAACTTTGGTAAGTTTCGTTTGGTAGTGAATGAGGTAAACAGTTAATATTTTCAGTGCTCATTTTGCTGCTTGTTCAAACAAAATTGTGTATTTAAAAATATTAAATTAAATCATTTGAAATTAATTTTTCGCCGTATAATGAATATTAATAGGCTATTAATATTAACTCTGTGCCATTATCAATCGAAGTCAAATTGTTTTTAGTATCATTAATAATAATAATTGTACTAATGACAATTGACAACTAGTAAAATGTCAAAGTCAATGTCGTCGCGCTATCAAAGTTTCTAGTCTATGGTCTTTTCTTGTCGACGGGTTAAGGGAATGTGAGTTTCGTATATTCATTAAAATAAATCCAAGAAAATCCTAACTAAATAAGTGATGAATTAAAGAACGAATAATTAGTATTATCAATTATTAATACCACTGCTACACGGTTAATATATTTTCCACATTTCTTTGTTTATCAATATAATACGAAAACCTGTTAAGTTTACAAGGTGTTAGTGTATCAGCATATGTAACTAATACGTTATTAAAATAAAATACAATATTATTAAGAATACTAAGAAGTGCTATAAGTGGGCGTCAGTGAATAGTTTGTTTTTGTTACTCGAAATATAGAGGAGGTTATGTTTATTTGCAGATCCATCCAAGATGGGTAAGATTATGAAACCTGGTAAAGTGGTGCTGGTCCTCAGTGGCCGGTACGCGGGGCGTAAAGCTATCGTCGTTAAGACCTATGACGAGGGAACAGCTGAAAAGCCATACGCTCACGCCTTTCTCGCCGGTATTGATAGATACCCCAGGAAAGTTCACAAGAGGATGGGCAAAAACAAAATCCACAAGCGTTCCAAAGTCAAGCCTTTCGTCAAGGTATGTTGCAATACATTGCAGTGGGTGAAAATTTTATTTATAAGGTTATATTTATGTTAATCAGATTAAAAGCCATGTGAGAAGAATGTGAATGTATGTATGCTTATACTAATCATTATAAGATTAGTGAAATTACTTACGATTTAGATTTAACTGTTAATAACAAAGTGGAATCTCTTTGGCTACATCTTAATAGTATAGTAATCAAAACAGATGATTACAAATTATTTTTGCACTAAAGAATATTTGTATCTGTATATTGCCACTCACATGCATGTTTTCCAGAAGATGTAAATATATATTCAATAAATATTATAAGCATTTAAAGAAGTTTACAGAATACCAATTTATATTGAAATCGTATTGAAACATGAAAGAGTTAAATATTTTAAATACAATAACTTGATTTGAATTTAATTTATAAAAACTTATGTGGACATGTATATATTTTTATAAGATGTGTCGTTTAGAAATTCAAATTTATAATAAAATGTAACTTTTTTCAGGTCGTTAACTACAACCACCTGATGCCCACTAGGTACTCCCTAGACATCAGTTTTGAAAAGTTCAGTGCTAAGGACTTAAAAGACCCAGCAAAACGCAAGAAGCTACGCTTCAACACAAGAGTGCGGTTTGAAGAGAGATACAAGAGTGGTAAGAACAAGTGGTTCTTCCAGAAGCTTAGGTTCTAAGGTGTACTTTAAATAAAATTGCAAAAACACAATCTCTTTTTTATTTACCATTACTCGTCAGTCTGAACAAAATAGTATTAGATAGATTTGTTATTTACTAAGGATAGCTGTATGGTATTCTTTTGTGGGCTGGGACATCTGATTTGCATATGTTAACAAACCCTTAGCAATATACAATTCTATTTACATGTTGAACAAGAGCTATGAGAAACTTCCATTGCTTTTGAATTATTTTTGACCACCTTACTAAAATATTATAATGGTCAATAACATTATTAATATATTTAAATAAATAGTTTTCAGAAAGTTGGGATCATGGGAAAAGTAAATGCTTAAATAAAACATTGCAGGTCATGTAATAATTTATAATATGGTTTTAAATAAATATTTAATCCAATAAGCAGTCTAAACTTAATTCTAATGATTTTAAACAGTAGACTTCTATGCAATTGTTAAGCTTGTGATTACTGCATTACAACAAAGCAGGAATTATGAAGAGTATTATAAAATTAAATGATTTTTTTAAAAATATAATAAAGGAATCATATTTTGCTACACGCAATATGTTAATCATAAATTCATATATTTTATTTGCAACTCGCAAAACTATATGCCTTCACTAAGAGTAGCTCTATCTTTTATTTGACAAAGTTTTATGTAAAATAACTTAAATAATTGTATAATAATGTTTAGATTTAAGCACAAGAACAACTATTTTATACTAAATACAACGCGTGATAGAGCTACAGGTAGATGCAACATAATTATGTGTGTTATTATTAACTGTCAAATAGAAATATACAATTTTGATAGAATAGAATACAAAATCAAACTCGTAATTCATAGGCTATGTCCATCACGCTGAGAGTTTGCCAATCCTTTCATCCAGTTTCTTGATTTCCTTTTGCAGACTGTCAATGTTATGTGCAAAAACTTCTTGTACTCCTTGAAGTAGCTGTTTATTATTTTGGGCACCATTCGCTATGGTGCTCTGTAGAGTTTCAAGCTCTGTGAGCGATTTTCCAAAGTTGCTTGCTGAAATGATTTTGTTTAACAATAATCAAGCAGGTAAAGTAAGAACAGTGTTGGCCTAATAGCTTGGTCAAAAACAACTGAAATAATTAAGATGAAGCTTGGACGGTTTCCTTAGTTGGGAAATAAACCTCTTCAATATATGTGTGAATTTGTTGGATAAACATACATTTACAAAATTTTGCACACATCAAAAACAAAAGTAAAAAATTTATTGGTTTTGAATACACGGGAGTCTTTCCTTAAATCGATTTGCATGGAAAACTCGAAGGCGTGGTAACAAACAGGATAAAAGCTTACCACAATATAAGAAATTTATATCTAAATTGCAAGCAAAGTAAATAGCAAAACTAGTTTAAATTTAAGTATATACCTTGATTATGTAAAGCTTCAAGAGCCTCCATTCGTTCCAATATTTCGGAGTGCGAGATACCATCTATTTGTTTCAATAGTTTGTGTAACTCATCAACCTGAAAATTAAAATGCTATTAAAAACATCTAAGCCCTGAAGAAATGGTAATTGCATATTTCATTTCCTTTTTATTTTGGCATACTTTGACAGCTTATGTCCCTAAATACGGTGGCTACATCAAAAAGTTAACCACAAGGCATTGAGGAGCCATAATACTTTTTCAATATACTGCATAGTATAAAATGTGCTACCTTCAATAACAATAATATAAAGTATAATACCTTTGACTGAAGTTCGGGCTCCGGTGGCTTACAGGCTGCTTTAAGAGCCTCCACATTAGATAAAAGTGAGGTAACTCTTGCTTCGGCCGCAGCCACTTCCGCGGGGCGCAAAAGGTTCGCTTGATTTGCTAGCGACGCTGCAGCGCCGCATAGAGTCGCCTAGAAAGGTAATTTCCTTATTTATATACCTTCACACATAACAATAGAGCACCTCTTCTAATAAGAGTGGGAGTAACAAACATCACGAATGCTGTATGCTGAAAAACAGTTGCAACAGTTTAACAGAGAACATCTCAATTTTTATTCATATTTCTAACTATATACACTTCTAAATGTCTACATTAAAAAATATATATAGTACAATGCAATACATAAGAATGTTTTGCATATAACAAGTACAAACACTATTTCAAAATTAGTACAAGTTAAAAGTATAAATAACTAAAAGTTCTATTGTATAATGGTGCTATGAGTTTTTATCATAATACAAATTGACATTTACCTCACCAGTTACAGTCTGAAGCCTTTGGAATGCTTCTTCATCTCTTACACCAGCTACTTGTTCCAACTTATGTAGCCTGTAATGAGAAAGATAAAATTAAAACAAGCAATATCACAAGGAATCTACTCACCCCCTATTCTAAATCAAAGAGAAGTAAGATTCTTACCACACAAATGAAACAAGAACATTACCTGTGTTCTAGTTGAGCAATTCTTGTTGTCTGTGCTAAATTGACATCAGGCTTCAGTTTCAAATGTGCAGTCACCGATTCACCATTCTTCTTTTTTCCACTCTTTGACAAATATTCTCTAAAAATGTCACATCATACAATATACTAAATCAATAATAAAACTATCTTTTAAATTAACAAACTCTAATTTACTATTACTAAGATCTTATAAAAAATTTATTATGTGTGAACTGGTAATGGTACTAACTACTAATATGAAATAATTAGAAACATATTAATTTGGAGGTAATTAAATCAAACAAGATGCGCGTTTACATTATTTTAAATTTATAAAGTATCGTTGTATTGGCAATTAAAACATCGCCGATATATCGGTATCGTATGCATCCCTAATTATAATCATAGGACCCATGTTATGTATGCCAAGCACTAGCACAATACATAACAAACAATGCATACAAGACAATCACTAAAAGGAACTAAAATGTTAAGCATTAAAAAATATGTATAGTATGGATAAAAATCTCTGTCCTTAGATTTAACGACAAAACCCTGAAGCGTCAAAATCACTCGGCTTTGGTTGGTTTAGCGGGTCTTCAATACAATGATACACTCTAATAGCATTACACCCACTCTCAATAACGACAAAAATTAAATACTAAAAACGACTAACGGTACTCCATTTCATATGTACCGAACTTTCCAAGAAATCTGTTTTTTTTTTAATTGCGCATGCTTGCATGTGCTTTATCACGAAGATGCCTCAATATCGCAAGATATGAATTAAATAAGTAAAAAAATACAACCTACGTACTGGTATAGTACAAAAATAACAGAAATTTTGTTAAAATACGAATTGTTTTTATGAAATTACTAACACTAGTCCGAAATAAACTTTCTTTTTCTAATACAGATTTTTCTTTCCTTTTGATGGGAACAAATTGTAACATCAAAATAGGCACAGTCCTTCAGAGTCAGAGTTTGCATTGTATGTAATACTTATATAGCCTATAATGATTTGTGTATCTTACTTAAGTTTCTCAGCTTTAGGATCTACTTGTTCTCCTTCCTCTAGTTTAAGTTCTTCTAGTAATTTCTTTGTTGTTGTTATTTGTGCAGCTAACTTTGAATATTCATCCTAAAAAAATACCATATTTTTAACTAAAACATGTATTATATATATTCCAATTCTATATTTTAGAATTCAAAATAAAAGTAGCAGAGACAAAGTAAGGTTGTCTTAATCTAATCAAAATTATTAATGATAAACATTTTTGACCAAAGGTTGACAATTTTAAGTGTAAATATTATGTCATTTAAAAAATATTACCTTCTCACTTTCACAGGCGCTTTTCTGCTGTTCAGAAACTTGCTTAAGAAGATCAGAAAACTCACATTTGAGCCGGTTATACTTCTCTATTGCTGTCTCTATTTCGTCCATGGCAGCCAACTCCCAGTCACCAGATCTGTCATGTTAATGATTTTTCATGCATACAAATTCATAATATAAATTAATAGATAGCAAATCAGTCTGATGACAATTTAATAAAAATGTCAAATGACATTCAGTTATTTGTTTTATTTTTATGCATTCGAAAGTAGGTTAAAATATATCAATCAAATGTAAACAGTATAATTTCTGACTTAGACTGGGCTTATACATAAAATCAAAGACATGCCCAATTACTATGCCAAAATGTCATAGGAATGTTTTGTTGTGTTTAAATATGTATACAACTTATAAAAACTAAACTGTACTTATATAGCTCTATGTATATGTTGCTCTGATTATTGTATTTATGAATTCCTTGAACTGCATTGCATTAGACAGTTTCTATAACCTACCAATAATCTATTACCTGTATCCTATTCTACTTTTTCTGCTTAATCGATCTGAGAAGTCAACATTTCCAGTAAGAAACTTTCCTTTAAACTTATTGAAAGAGTCCTTAACAGAGAGATGTAATTGCTCAATGCACTCATTGTCTTCTTCCTCAAACGGATCTTGTTGATCAGCTTCCGGCAAATCAACTGTTTCATACACATCAGGCTGGTCGTAGGCCTAAAATATTTACAAAGATTTAATATTGTCTTGTCATGAAGTAGGTTAGATAAATCAATAATTCTCAACATTTTAAACATTTTACTTACAATTCCAGGAAGGTTCTCGTACTTTGGATCTGCCATTATTACTCGTTTAAGAATTAGTCACAAAATACAAGATTATTTAAAACAATATTGATCGGAGAGTTTTTTATTTTCTTTACATTCCGTTCTTTAGATTTTGCTTAAAGACAAAAGTGACGTCAGATTTTATGACTGCATTTTTTTTTTTTTTTTTTTAATGGCTCTGGCACGATTTGTGCATTAGCCAGCGTCAAGTATAGGACTTTTTATAATTCGTGCTCGTCTTTAAGAAATTCGACAGTGCCCTTTATGTACGGTTTAAGCACTCGCCCGGTACCGCACAACCCTCCCAAAGGCCGAGAACAAATTTGAATTAAATTAAAACTTGCCCTCGAACCGGGAATCGAACCCGGTACCCCTCACCTAGCTGCCACTTAATAAGACCGCTAGGCTATGAGGCCCCCATGACTGCATTTGTAATTTATATTTCGAATTTTGTGTCACTGTCAGCACTCAGCACACAGAATACACATTTAAAAATTCTCCTATCGTTTAAGAATTACTTCTATTAATATTTCGTATGAAATTCAGAAATATTCACTGACTTTTTTATTGATACTAATATCGATGCTTAAAAATCATATATTATAAGAGTAAAAATCTAGAAAGATTCAGAAGATTCAATGTTATTTATACAATTTAAAATTCACCTATTGGCTATTACATTTTCTGAACTGAGGTACACGTCATGGTAAACGTCAAACAAGAAATGTCACTGATCCTAAAAAATTACATTACTCAGAAAATTAGTCATTGATATTTTTGATTGCATCTGAGTTTCGTGTCCTGATATTTCAGTATAAAATTAAGCTTTTTTTGATTTCATATTAGTTGTGATTTAACAAACTAAACATGAGTTTGCAGTGGACGATTATTGCTACTTTCCTATACGTTGAAATAGCGGTTGTGCTTCTTCTATCTTTGCCTGTCGCAAGTCCTTCGAGATGGCACAAATTATTCAAATCGAAGTTTCTGGCGTTTATTTATAGACAAGCCTCGATTTACTTTTTGGTGCTGATCGGTGTGTTGGTGCTATGCCTGTTAGATGCTATACGTGAGATGCAAAAGTATTCTAACATCGAATCAACTGAGCACCAACATCTTGACGCAGAAATGCAAGGTAGCATGAGGCTTTTCCGTGCTCAAAGAAACTTTTACATCTCAGGATTCGCTCTGTTCCTTCTTATCGTTATTCGGAGATTGGTTCAGATGATTTCTGAACTGGCATCTTTGTACGCACAGTCCGAGGCGAACTTACGACAAGCTAAAAGTGCAAGCGCCACCGCCAGAACTCTTCTTTCGCAGCAAGGAGAAGGAGATGAGAAAAACAAAAAAGAAGTAGAAGACATCAGAAGTCAAATTACACTTCTAGAAAAGGAGCTATCAAAAGAAAAAAAGGATAAAGAAGCAATGAAATCGCAAGCCGAAACATTGAATAAAGAATATGATAGGTTATCTGAGGAATATAGTAAATTACAAAAGAAGCTCACAGTAGCAGGTGGAGATAAGAAAGATGAATAAGTGTACAAATCATTATTCTCTCTTTATAATAAATTTCATTCTCATGAAAACAAATATTGTAAATGTATGATGTAATCCTGTGATTCATAGCCTTGAACAAGCCTTTAGTATGGAATTACTTTAAAAAATATTTAATTACCTTTATTTTGTAATTGTGAGGTGTTGTGTAGGTTTAATATCTTTGAAAAGTCTGATTATGTTGTTTTGGGGCATTTTTTTTGTAAGTGTATATGTATTTAAAATCTAGGTATGTATTGTTTTTATATGAAAGGGTCCTGGTTTATTAAATATTTACTATTAAATTCTAATGTATGGACTAAGTTCCAACTAAATAGACATTTTTCTATGCTATGTTTTTTAATAGAAGTTTTTGTGCATTTATTACACCTGCTTTATTCCTTTACTATCTTAACATGTCTACTTATTAACATTTAAAAGTCAGAGTTTAATAATGTTAATGTATAAGAGTGGTCAATTGGTGTGTTCTATAAATAAAGATTTTATAAATTAATCATATGTTTTATTTATTAACTTAAGATAGATCATATTTTATTGAATGAATAGTATAGTAGCAAAAATGAACAATAAATAGTCTAGATTACAGTTCATCTTTAAGATTTAATTGATAATTTTCATTTTCAATTAAACCAAGGCTGTTCCAGAAAGCTCTCTTTCCGAAGTCCAAGCTAGATTTCATCTGAATCTTGTCTGGGCCAAGTATTTCTAAGTAATTGAGTTCTGGAGAGTTGGGCTTCACCTGCTTCCATTGAGGGGCATTAGGCACTTTAGGTGTTCTGTAAAGATATTAAGAGTTTAAATATTGCAAATACAAATTGTTTATAACCACTAACATTTGCTCTATGCTATTTCGAGTTTAACCCCTGACATACGGTACTATACAAGTTTCTGGCATTTAAATGTGGTCCCGTTGATAATTGAATTTTACTCTAATTACCTATGTAGTGTGAAGGTTCGTTTATAGGTGCATATGCTCATATCGCTCATAAGACTCAGCAGCCAAAATATTCATACATGCATGATTTGTTAAAATATTTAGCGTAACTATTTAGGCTCGCCCGCTCTGTCAAAATCCCATAAATGTGTCACGTTCAGCAGTCATAGAGTCAATCTTTAGTGCGCACTTGGACTTTGCTCAGACTTACCTTACGAAAAACTTTGCTTAGTGTACACTAAGGTTAAACTATGATTTCGTATTTATAGACATTTTAACGGTGAGATTAAGCTAAGCCCAAGCTAAGACAGAAAATGTCAAAATACAAATTGATGTTTCATTTCATGCAATACTTTGTTTATTATCCTTTAAAAAAGTTAACAATAACAAATATTTAAAAATCTAAAACGGTACACATATATCTTCAATTTATTGTTATTTATGTATTCATTTATTTTATTATTGCAATAACTAGAAATTCACGAGTAACCTTTAGAAAATGTATTAATTATTTAAAGATGACAATAATTTTATTACGTAGAACGGATCGCAATGTTTTGGTTAGGTTATAGTTTGAATTTCGTTGTCACTATAATATGCCAATTGCCAGGGCTGCCAGGTGACATACAAAATCACACCAGTTATTTTTAAGATTTCTCAAAAATGGGGTTTGAACAATTACATAAATAATATAAATAAACAACAATAAATACCATAATAATGTGTAATTATTTTATTTCATGCATTTCATAGGTATTTATCAAGATCATTTATAATTTCTTTGAATTCAAATTCTATTTTTCCCAAAGTCTATGGAACTCCGATACAAAATGGCAACACCGTTCATTAAAAACCGACAAAAATAAAAAGTCCAGTAAAAGATATGATGGTAAAGCAAATTTTGGGCCATTATTTTTGTTAGGCTTATAGTCAAAGTTTTTGGTAAGTCGTCGATTTCGTGGACTTGAGATTAAGCTAAGCCAACACTAGGGAGAGATTCGTAGTTTGCTCTATAAATACCGACTGTGTCTTAGCTCGATAGTTAAGTCAGAGCAAAGTCTAAGTGCGCACTATAGATCTCACCCATAGAGTCAATCTTTAAGCGTCTACAGTCTACACACGGCCCTAAAATCCGAGGCAATATTGCCGATTCATCCCCACCACCATTGTCCCGATATCGCCACTGACTTAAGAGTTTAGGGCCGTGTGTGACTGTAGACGCTATTAGAGTGATACTTTAACAAAACAGTGTTAGTTATATACACACGTACTGTTAAACAATGTGGGTACCTAGAGGTACCCACCAACGAAAAGCTTGCTAATTAGATAAAATTATTAATTTCCAAGATTTTATGAATAGTGAAGTAATAAATGAACATTGGTATTGCGGAGAATGTTCAAAATCATATTTACCCTGTGGCAGCATAAGTGTACACCATATCCAATAGGGCATCCCTCATCTTAACAACTTCAGGCTTCGTTGAGATTTTGTTGTCTCCGAAATTGAATACCAGTAATACATCGTCCGCGTGACTGACACCTATGGATTTGGTTACAATGTAAAAAGTATGTCTCTTCGTGATGTGCGTAAGAACATTTGTGAATTTAAACTTAACTCAAGGTTTGGTGAATAATGAAAAATTTGCTTTAAAAATATTACACATACATAACTCTTGTTTCTATATAGGACATAAAAACAAATACAATTACGACGTCTGTTTGACTGAAGTGTTTGAATTATGTAAAAACGTAAGATACATTTTTTGTTGTGAGGATTGGATGGCGCTGTATTTACCAATTAGTTTATTGGTTTTTTCTTTAATATGGTTTAAATATTCTCTCAAATTCAATAATAATTATATTATGTTATGAAATCATAAATTCTATCATAATGAATTTTACATCGAAAAGGTTACGGACAATCTTTTGTATTAAGGACCGTTTTTTGTATACTTGGAGTAAACGGACAGGGGATGCTGTTAAGTGATACCATGCATATGCATTATTATATATATATATATTGCATATGCATGGTATTACTTAAACGACGCTGACGAAAATCGATGCATCATAGCATATCTGCCAATGTCTTATCTAGCTAAAGTTTAATTATAGTATCCACTATCGTATACTTTAATTATCTTTGACCTCAATTTTATACAATACCTATATGACCGGATTTATTGTAGTCATTGGAAAGTTTTAATATGTGCTATATAGTTTATAACATCAAGTTTTTAATCATCAATATAAGTCACGCAAATTGTTAATTATATACACTACTCTTTTGGGTTGATACCTGCCTAATAAATAGAATATTCATAGAAAACATGAGCCAAGTATGAACCCTGAGGAAATAATTCAAGATATTCCACAATAAAAACGGAATATGAAACATTGTGGCTAATGACCCTGAAAATGGCTAGCCGGAACAACACACACGGTCTCATCGACGACTTTTTGCGTGAATCTTTCGCAAAAAACTATTAAAGGTTTTGTTTATGAATAAACATAGCAGAGTCATTCATTAAACCGTAATGAACAGGAGATTAATAATGATAATGTATTAAGGGACGGGTACTCATCTGTCATGCCCGATTAGCTAACCACTGATTTGAAAAATAAAATATTTAAGGCTTTTATTTACCTTTTAACCTTCGGTTGTATGTAACCAATTGTTAAAAATTGTAATAATAAAAATAAAACATTCAATCACGTCTAGATGTGTATATGTACGTCGTCTTACGTCGTTTAAAGAGTACACAAAAAGGGAATCAATATGTCTATATTAGCGACGGCCAGAAAAGAAACAGTTGATATAATAAATTCAATTATAATATTGACTTAGCAGCGATTTCAAAGTCAGAATACCCCAGGTCTGTTTAAATGGAATTAATTAAAACTAGAATATGTGTTTTTTTTCTGATCTCACAGATTAGTCGGAAAATGTATGTGTAACATATTGAAGTACCTACATGATATGACATATGGATATATATTATGATCCTTTATCGACTTAAAAATTCCTTCACCATTAGAATGCTATATAATCTGGGAGGAATGGTTACTAGTATTTCATATAGTCTTATTTGAACAGTGGCGGCTTTACAAATTTTCAAGGTATAGGCTGTGATGTTTTTGCCACCCTTGCCTTTACAATTGTCATGTCCTAGATTATTTTTAGAATACAACAATTGTTGAACGTAATATAATTTTTGGGTTTCGCAGCCTCCCACCAGTAGTAAGATTGACATGTATAGGTTGATAGGGGGAAGAGGGAAAAGGGAAAAACACTTTCTGCAATTTCGTTCCTTTCACTCATGCAAAGTGTGAGCTGATGGCGTAGAGGTCGATTACTGGGGGGTTGGGAAAATTAGTGGAAGACTTCTATCTGTAAAACATCAGAAAACCGTCATGCAGAAATCTTTAATTTCTATGAGCAAAAGAAATCGGTTCCCAAATTTGCCGCCCTGGCTCCAACCTAATCAGCCTGCTGGTAAATCCGCTACTGTATTATATGAAATAGTAATAACTGAAATAACTCTGGAGTACCAAGCAATGTAGTTATTGCCGGGTTCCTCTATATACTATTATATATACAGATTATCTAAGATGTTTTACCATAGTTTATCTCGTTTTGGGCCATCATGTGTGACAGACTCCATTCTCCACGGTAAGCGTACTTGTATAAGTAAGTAGGTTGGGACGTGCGGGTTGCGTGCATCTCCACCATTTTACCGACGTCCACAACAAACAGACGATCACTCAGAGCCTGTCAATAAAGTAATAATATTGAAGTTTAGTAAAAATCAAATCCATTACTGTCAAAAGATAGCAAAGGTTTAGCAATCTTAGCATGAACTAAACGATTGCTCCGTCAAATATTATATATAGTACATATAATAATATTATATATAGTAGTATTCCATTCAATTCGTGGTAAGAAGTTGGTGTTGCCATAGACAATTTAACAATAACATTAGTTTTGTATATTTCACGATAGTCTGCCAATAAGTACCTACATGAAATGTTGTTCATCCTTACGAACAGTCACAACAACAGTAACAATTCTTAAACCTTATCCTAGTCTCTTATAGATATTTATCAGCGAATAACAGTAGTTTACCAAAGTCAGTAGCAAAAGTTTACTGCGAAGGCATGTGTTTGGCGAATAGCCACGTAGCCAATGCTGTTTGGTAGCACAATGGAACATAAATTCACGTTATTTACTGTTAAGTTAGACTAAAACGCGGAAGTTTAAGAACATGAGCAGATGAAAAATACATTTTCAGTCCAAGGTATTGCGTCATTTAAGATATCTGAATGAATTAGAATATTAAATGATGTAATCCGATTACCTTAAATTAAATATAAATCAAAGTAAAAGGAAATTGTGGAATTCAAATTACGTTACTAGTCCTTAGTTATACTTTGCTTATTTTCTTTCAATTTTGGATTTAAAATTATTTGTGTTGTATCTATGTTAGTAGTGTTTATACATTCTATATCTTATTTTAATTTATTGTTCCAAATTACAGATTTATTATTATTACATATATGTAATAATAAAAACACACATTATAATGTGTGTTTCGAACCAAGCAAAGATTTCCTGATATTCAGCCAAGCTATTCTAATTTTTTCAGAATTATTCTGTTTTATTTATCACTTCCTCTCGTATAGGTTCCTCTGATCGTACTCTACGAGTTCTCTCCCTCCTTAAGTCTATTGGTCCAACATCCCCTACTTATTTATATTGTAGAGCTTAGGGATCCGTAGAATTGTTACGTTCTTAGTTCTCACTTGCTCGTTATCTAGTGCATCTTGCTAAGACAATCGCTATATATACTATACAGATATAATATAATTAAAATACACATCTCACAGTCCACTGGAAGGCAAGCGTACACTGTATGTCAATAATTGCCTTAAAAGCAGGGCTGGATTTAGAGGTCTGAAGGCCTTGGGGTAACAAAGGAGTGGAGCCCCCAAATTATTTTCCAAATAAAATGAATTTTTTTCAGTCGAGTTTTAAATTCAAGATTTTTTGGGACACCAAGTAGATTCTTTTAGTATTTAACAAATATTTAAAGAAATATCAAAAGGGAAAGTTGTTTACTAGCGTTTACTAATCGGCATCTAAAATATATGTTTTTTCCGTACTCTATTGTGGAGGCCCCGAGGCTGTAGCCCTCCCCTAAATCCTTGGTGTTTATCTTAATATATATATTTCTTCTGTGCGTGTGTATGTGACTGAACTCCTCCTAAACGACTGGACCAATTTTGATGAAATTTTTTGTGTGTGTTCAAGGGGATCTGGGAATGGTTTAGATTCACAAATCAGCCCGACAGATGGCGCTGCAGTCGGTACTTTCATACTTTGTTTAATATCTTAATCGGTTGAAATATCATGCAGGACAACGTCTGTGGGGTCCACTAGTATCTTTATATATATAATTCTTCTGTGAGTGTGTATGTCACTGAACTTCTCTCAAACGACTGGACCGATTTTGATGAAATTTTTTGTGTGTGTTCAAGGGGATCTGGGAATGGTTTAGATTCACAAATCAGCCCGGCAGATGGCACTGCAGTCGGTACTTTCATACTTTGCTTAATATCCTAATCGCTTTAAATATCATGCAGGACAACGTCTGTGGGGTCCACTAGTGTTGATATATAACTGGCATTTGTCATATCCAAACAAAGGATTTAATTTTGTAAAACTATTGCCATAAAATAAAATAAAAAATGTATTCGAAACTATAATTAAAAACGAAGTCGCTATTAAAGTTATGTGGTAAACTAGTTATTCTCGATAACAGAATGTTTACCTGAACTAGTTGGTCAAATGTTTCCTGGCTGACAGATTTAGATCCCAGGTATTGCTGTTTGATCTTCGCGGCTACTTCTGCTCGTAGATTCTGGGGTAAAGTTTCGTTGTACTCGAAGATATTGCTAGCAAGATGCTCCCATCTAGACTCCAGTTCCTGCAAGATGCTGGGGTCTTCCTGGTAGGCTAGAAGGATATGATGATATATATGTTGTATAGATTGATTAAGAACATGAATAATTGTTCCTGAATATTTAGAGGTACAATAAGAGATATGATAAAAAAAAAAATCTGTGGCGCTACAACCTCTTTTAGGTCTTGGCCTCAGATTTCTGAATCTGTTTCATGAGCATTTTGAAATCTAATAGGCAAGTAGGTGATCAGCCTCCAGTGCCTGACACACGCTGTCGACTTTTTGGGTCTAAGACATGTCGGTTTCCTCACGATGTTTTCCTTCACCGTTCGAGCAAATGTTAAATGCGCACATAGAAAGAAAGTACATTGGTGCACAGCTGGGGATCGAACCTACGACCTCAGGTATGAGAGTCGCACGCTGAAGCCACTAGGCCAACACTGCTCTATGATATGGTACCGTATGTTTTTTATAAAATCATAATATGTAGAAATCAAATGTGGATCGGTACCTTCTAACTAAACGTACTTACTAAAACTAATTTGTATTTAAAGTCAAGAACTTATTATGGTAACAGTTGTATTGTAGACAATTAAAGATTACCTGCTGCCGGATATAAGCCTTCCTCTGATGTGACAGATCCAATGAGAGGCACATTGTTAATTGATCCTGATAAAGCGGCATGATACGGGTATTGAGTCAAGAATGGAGATTTTGACCCTGAAGGCTCGACTGTTGGGGTGAATGGGGTAAACATATGCACCTTCCAATCCTGAAATAGTGATTAGTTATATATATTTTGTGTAGACACGTTAAAATTACAAACTATGAGCATTTTAATAAAATAGTAAAGTAAGGGAAATACAAATATAGGGCAAACAAGTTTGCTTTGCGTGACAAAACGAAATTAGTGCCTTGACAGCAAAGTGCACAAAACAAAACAATAACTCTTTTTAATTTCAATAAATTATTCTGCTATTTTATTTATAATATAATGTATTCCTACAAATTAAAAATATACCTATATGTTTTTCTAGGCAAGTAACTTTGTTCAACATAGAATCTTCATGAAATTTTAATGGTTTAATGTATAAATCGGTTCGTATATTTTTGATAATCTGTTTCATATGAAAGTAATTTAGTCAAATATTACGCCTTCAGCGTGCGACTATCATCCCCTAGGTCGTAGGTTCGATCCCCGGCTGTCCACCAATGGACTTTCTATGTGCGCATTTAACATTCGATCGAACGGTGAAGGAAATCGTAGTGAGGAAACCGGCTTGCCTTAGACCCAAACGACGTGTTTCAGGCACAGGAGGCTGATTACCCAATTGCCTATAAGACAGATGATCATAAAACAGATACAGAAATCTGTGGCCCAGATGTAAAAAGGTTGTAGCGCCACTGGTTTTTTATAATTTGTATATCAATTCCATGAATGACGTCAAGTAATACTTTGTAACTCACGTCTCGTATTACGTGAGGTGCTTGTGGCTTGTTTGTAGACCTATAAATCTAATTCGTCCTTTAATTGCTACTATGACCCCTACGCCATTTTGTTTCTGTACACATTTATTGTTATAAATTTAGCTAGCATACATGTGTTTATTATCTTGATACTTGATTATATATTTTACACCACACATATTTTTATTAAAATCTAAACAATCCTATGTTCTACGTGGTTCAACTACGGGAATAAAAATATTTCTACAGGTCTAGATAAACAAATAACATAATACATAAAAAATATAAGGAATGCAATGGGCAGCCTTATCGCTAACAAGCGATCTAAGCATCCCTAGATCGCTTGCTTAATAGCATACTGATAAGATATGGTTAAAAATGTTTATAAAGAAGAGTTAAGAAATTAAATAATGTCATCGCTGTATTACTGTGTCAGTATAGAAATTTTCGTTATTTAAAAGTCATTTTGAAAATATTAGGTTTAAATTCAAACAACTGGTAACTAATGCATCTTCCGTTTTTCAACTAAGCATTAAGTAAGAAAAATAAACTAATTAGAAGTATATAGACGCAATAATTAAGTATTTTTTGCTATATAATAAAATTGTATGAGAATACCATTGTCAAATATTAATAAGCAAAAAATGTGTGAGCTCTCAAAGCGAGGATTACGCGCATCGAAACTGACTAAAACGCATAAATTATAAAATCATATTAAAAACATAAATCAGTGGGTAGATAGGACATACATATGTAGGTATTAAGTAAATGCTAAGATGAGCCTTGATTCTAGACTTAAATTAATCAGCTTAGATCAGTTTTTAGTTATTTTTAGGGTCGGTTTATTTTCTAAGTTAATGACCATTACCAATCGAAATTTATAAATTCAGGTTTACTGAAGTTTCAAAACCGCCGTTATCTCACCTAATGTTAAGTGGGATGTAGCCTACAGGTGACCGCACCTGCCATCCGCTGTTTGGCCCAAGCCCAAATTATCTTTCCTACTGATTGAAAGGGGCAAGGAACATTTCGACAAACGAAACGACGGCTCATATTGAAAGTGACGGACTGGAGGCTCACCTGATTTTAAGTGATACACAGCCGCCCACACTAACATTTGCGAGTACGGGCTTATAAGACTGAACAAGAAAAGAGAAAATTTCTTATAGGAAAGTCGAATTCGTTACAATAAGACTGATTTAGTATAATGAAATATAAAAGTGGATAATTTGTAAGGCTCGTATACAAAGAAAATGTAACGTAATTTTAATTTTATGAGTAGTAATATAAAGATCACGTTTTCCTTAAAGACATAATTAAGGTGGAAACATACTATTAAAACGCCACGCGACGCAACGTGTCGACACCCGATGTCCATCGTGCACATTACCAACACGCGACACCACGACACACTTGCAAATTCAGAAGTCATTTAGCTGACAATTGACATTTGTGCCAAAAACTCGAACGTTTGACTTGGCGTCAACAACACGACAACACGCCGATCCAAATCGATTGGATGTTACCGCGTGTGATCACATGGCGTGTTGTCTATGTGCATCTGACCTTATTTTTCTAATAACACGTTACATTTTGAATACATTAGATAAAATGTATAGAGGATAATTTATATTGCTATAGGAAAAATAAGCGTGTATGTAAATAGTAATAACGGGTAATGGTTGAGTATATAATTACATGATATTTTTTAATAAAGTCAAGTGTAAACAGGATGCAATTCTTGGCCCAGCTGTAACTATATGGAATCGAGAGAGAACTTATGAAATATTATGAAACATTTACTGGACGATTCTTGGTGATATTCTTTATTTATTTCGTAATCCTACAGATAACATAAATTATATATAATAAATAAACAATTATACTAAAGACGTAGCCGAATATAGAATACACAATATTTACAAAATGGTTCAAACATTTAAAAAAGGAAAAAAGCAATACACATTATTAAATACATCTAACTAAGTAATACCTATTTCGGCTGTGTTGTGTGATGGTGTGAAAGTGAGGGTATGTACGTGAAGGTTGTGTTTGGCGGGTGTGCTCATGATGCACGTGATTTAGCGCTATGGATATTCTTAATATTTATTTTAAGCATATTCCTCGATAGCTTTAACAAGTCAAGTTATACATTGGTCGTTATATATATACATATAAAATGTTATGTTGGTTTGTGTACGCTTCAAAAACTCAAAAAGTTCTGCACCGATCGAGCTAAAACTTTATGATATATAATCCGCATCAAGCATTGTTTTCATCTATTTCTTTCCAAAGTTTTGCTAAATTAAACTTATATGAAAATATGTATTCTTTGTTTTGTTTCAACCATTCAATCACAATTTGCCACAGCTATGTTAATAAAAACAAATGTAAAGAATCCATGGTCTTAAATAGTTTACAGGTTTACATCGGTGTTAATTTTTTTATGAACTAGATGTTATGTCTACGTTGATTTTTTGATTCAAGACAATTCAACTATACTGTGTAAAAAGTGGTTTCGAATATGTCCTTGAGAAACCTCGCGCACAAAGTTTATAGTTCCTGTATAGTCCGGCTATACACACAAAATCTCGTAGAATCTCGTAGATTACTAACCAATAGTTTAAAGCTGCTCTCACGTATAGATTATATAGTATTAAAAATGTTGAACCTTAAAATAACACAGATGCATAACTAACTGCATACGTCACCAGCGGACAAAATAACAAAAAAATCTAATTGTATATTCAAACCATCCTCGAATCCACTTAAACACACAGAATATGTCATCCAGTCAGTTTAATTACAAAAACACGCACAACAACATTTATGAATTATTTTAAAAAGTCCGAAATGGAGCTACGTATTAAAATGTCTGTTTCTCATTTTTAATGCAATTTTTAGTTTATGGTTGCGTTGAGGAGCTTTATGTTTCCTGATTCTTGTATCTCATTTTTATTACTCTTAAGATAGTACAGGATAATTAAAGTTATATATTTTTACCCAAACGTTACGAGAAAATAAGTTAGAATAGATTTTTTTAAATATATAGTCAGTTATTCTTTTCAAACATTTGTAATTAAATTTATGATCATGGCGGTTCAAACGCGGAAGGGAGGTATCTAAAATAAATATAAACCTAAATCTAAATCTAATAATTTATGGTAATTTATCTAACACCAAGAACTATCATCATTACAAGTAAATTGCATTCATAATTATACAATTTTATATTTAAAATTCAAAACTTTTAATACGAAAAATATAGTTAATATATTCTACCCTCATAAAGAAAAATCTACTCTTCTCAATTGTGATCAATTTTAGCCACTCAAAGCTATTTGGTACTTAAAGTACAAGAGATAATAAAAAATAAAGATTTAAGTTGGCGCCTGGTTATTAGTACGGTGACCCCAGAGCTGGTGCTTTCCTCGCTCAACGAATATGTATCGCAATACAGCAAAGAAATTACAATTAGCATTAAAGGTACACTCCCATAAGGACCTTTTTGAATTTATTTTAGTAATTATTATTCTGTAAGAATATCGTAAATACTCTATATTGGTGAGTTATAAATGAAATAAATAAAACACAAGCGATACTTACAAACATTTCAATCTGCGCATTGACGATGACTTCTGCTGGTCGGTATCGAAGACAGTCTACCATCTCCTTATGGTTCTGAGTGGGACACCCAACGATGGATGATAAAGCTCTAGCCTTCTCCGCTGGGTTCCTGGCGATGGCCCATGACATGAAAGCTGATCCGCTGAAGGCTATACCACGGTTGAACCTGTCTGATGATTAATAGACAATATTATGCTTTTCATTATTAAGATACATTTTTTCTTACACAGGATACAAAGTATTAAATATTTCTTCAAAAAGATTACGGAAAATTACGAAGGTAGGAGATGTTAAACCTAAAGACTTTAGAAAGTAAGGGTCATACATTTAAGTGTCAAATAGGAATAATAAATATTTTGGTAAATAGTCCGTATCGCGGCACCAGCGATTTTGAGGCTGATTTTTTTTTTACAGTCGCGTTATGATCAAAGCACAGGCATTTTATTTACTGTTACAGCGGGTGGGGGCTGCTCTTCCTCCGCGCCTCCGATTTCTTATATACACTCTAGGGGTAAGTCAGACAAGACCACGTGGATAGTGGGGTGCTCTGATTCGGTTTTGGGTACTTTTTGATTTTTTTTTTTGCAAAAAAGGTCATGCGCCATCATAACAACACTACGTATAGTTATGGTGCTGAGAACTCATGACGAAGTCATAAAAAAATCAGCCTCAAAATAGCTGGTGCCGCGATACGGAATATTTACCAATATTTTAAATAGCGTATTACATAAAATACCACAAATGATACACCAGTGTATTATTACACGTAAAAAACAAATCTCAGATTACTAAGTAATACTTACGTAAAATACAATATTGGACATTTACTTTTAAGAGTATTGTGTAACAATGTTTTTTTTGTATGTACCAAACAGATACATCTTATTATCATAGCAACTGCCGAATGTCATGTACTGTTTGTTCTGTACTTAGAGAGCTTGTCTATATATATACTAATATTATATCGACTATATGTTTGTATGGCTAAAACTATTAAATTCAAAAGCGTCCTGCCCGGTTTAATTTAATTATAAGAATGCTACGGACCAGAAAAGGCCTAGTCGATTGAAAGTGGGCCTCTCAACAGTGAAGTCGTGCGTTCGAATCACAGCTGTGCACCGATGGATTTTTGAAGTTATACTTCTTTTGGCCCGTTAGGGATACATGATGAGAGAACATTTTCACGATGCGCGCGCACACCGTCACAAAAAACCGTCACCCGCACACCACAACAAAAAAAAAGACACCCTGAAGTTGTTAAAATAAAAAATGTCCATTTCTTTAATTATATAGATATAATTTTTTCGTGATATTAAAATAAACTGTAATTAACTAGATAATGCGTTATAATAATAAAACTTTCAATGTATTTAATACCTTTTTTCTATTGTTAATGTCGTTTTTTTCTAAAAAAGTAGAATAAGGCGAAAGATAAAAAAATTAAAAAGATTTTTATTATTTTCGGTTGTATGGTGACGCAAAACATAAGAAAATCAGTACGGCTAGACCCATAAATCTATGGCGTATGCCAGCACCAGAAGGCTAGAAGGCTGATCACCTACTTGCTTATAAGAAAAATAAATGATCACGAAAGAGATACCAAAGGCCCAGCCATATTTATTAAATAGAAATTTAACAAATATCTTAAAGACTAAAACCCTTATTTATAAATCTACTCATTTGTCTCTTTTCATAACAGAGTAAACGCTTTGTGACAGAAAGAGAGGAACTACTTTAGTTCAGAGAGCAAATAAAAGTCGGGTCACAGATCATCAGTTTAGAATAGTCATTATAAACTACTTCAGATTCTAAAGTGAGTCAGGAAACTTCAATAATTCCTGTATCTAAAGTTTACTGCCCCTAGGCCGTATGCATATTGTGAAACAGGGGATTAACAAAACCAAGTAAACAGGAGATGTTTACAGACCTAAGTTTATCGTTTGTTTGCTTATAAAATAATAGAAAACGCGTTTCGCTTATAGCTGTGAGTTATACGTTTCTTAAAACACGCATTATATTTGTCATGAAATTATAAAGGCGAGGCATTCTAAACTCTGTTATTGTGTGTTCCGGCTTAAAAATGTTATACATGTTGGTGATAATTTAGAGCCAGAGGGAAGACGCTGCGTTTGATTGTGATCAGTCGGACGCTCCATATAGACATAGACATCAAATTTATTACAAACAAAAACACACACACATAAACACACAAAATAACAATAATCAAAGAAAAAAATAAAATCAAAAATATCAAAAACAATAAAAATCCATTTTCCCATTCGGTTGGTTTCAAGTGTGTAATGCGTGTGTGCTGTGGTTGTAATTGGCCCTGGCTCAGCATTATGCTGAGGAGTAGAATGTTCAACAGCGCTGGTCATTCTGCCAGAGACCACAGCAGCTAGTTTGCGCCTCAGTCGCAAAAAAGAAAAGTAATGTAATAAATACTTAGTAGAAAAAAAAAGTTACCAGTGTACGTAATGAAGTGTTGTGTAAAGGTGTATCGTAAAATTAATAAAAACGTTAATAAAATTAAATTAAAAGTTAAAAATAAGAATAATTGTTATGGCGTTAGGCTAGAGATAATGTTGTTCAAACAAAATCCATCACGTTTCATCTTCCGTAAAAAAATCTGACACAAAGCTTCTAGCCCACAAAAAGTTCTTCAGAAATCTAAGGCCGAAACTAAGGTTATATCATCACTGTTTTATATATTTTCCAAACCTTGGTCTTATGTTGTTCATTAACAATAGGATTTTTATTACGTTCCTTAACATATCTTTTTTGGGATAATTGGTATGTGACTTATTTTTCTAAATGTATATTCTGCACGCGTTCCGTTTATGTAGCATTGAATAAAATCTTGTAAGTCATTATACAATGTTTAAACTGTTAATAATCTCCATAACAAAAACAAATTAAAAATAATATTAATAATTTCCTTTTGGAGTAGAGACTCTTGGGCCGTGGGTTTCAAGTGCATCGGCACTAATTAAAGATTTAAGTTGGCGCCTGGTGGATAGTACCGGTGACCCCAGAGCAGGTGCTTTCCTCGCTCAACGAATAAGTATCGTAATACATGCTAGCAAAATTATTATTACTATGTAGGTTAAGAAATTGTAAATACTGTATATTTGATTGTTTTATTTAGTTACGTTTACAATACAAATATTTTTGTTTGTGCACAACGTTATGAGAAGTAAAGGTAGACAAGATCGTAGATGGGAAGATGATATTAAAAAGGTGACAGGAGCGACATGGATGAGAAAAGCAAGATATACACCTTTTTGGAGAACACTTGGGGAGGCCTATGCTGAAAAGCAATACGATCAAGAAACCGGTGTCTAATAGGAAATAATTTAATAATATTTACATTTACATTAACTAAATTTCATTAATAACTAATACTTGTCAATAAAGGCTATATTTATTTATTTATATACAAAATTGAAAATTATACAAATTTAATTAAACTTAAAATATTTTCGACAGCTTAGATTAAATAAACTTAAAATACACTACGGTAATTCTAAACACTCTCACGACTCTCCTCTGTTTACATACAACGATGAACGTATATATTATATATATATCACGGCGCAAACGTGCAGGAGGCTCACTAGATGTTAAGTTCTACCGCCGCCCGTAGCCGTAGACACTGGCATTGCCAGAAGGCTCGCAAGCGCGTTGCCATTCTTTTATAATTATTTTATAAGTGGAATGTTCACAAACAACACAGCAAAACTGTTATAATTAAGTGTTTGATATAAATATTGTCATACGAAATTGATTCATAATTTTGAGGGTATTGGTATTTGCAAGCAAAATTAATTAAATCATCTATGAAGAATGGCTATTAAATCACGTGGCTCGCTTTGTTACCTTGTTCATATCTACTAAGCCGCGGTCTAGAGAATGTAAATTTCTTGTTTGATTAAAGTTTACGATTCGCCGTAGTATTATAATGAGACTTTGTTCTCAAGGATTTATGCTAAAAAAGTTTTTGTCGAAATATCACGATGATGAGAATTAGGCCTTGTTTGAATTGTGATTACATTATCAATAGCTTGTGCATCTAATCATCTAATATACATTTATATTTGTTTACAGCATAAAAGCGTAATAAACCTCATATATGATATTAAATAATTAGGATATTAGGTTACGTGATTGCCAATATAACGTTATGGTGTTTTAGGGTAAGATTGCGTTGTAGGGTATATTGTGGCAACTATCTATAAAATAACCGATTTACTGATGTCAGGAAGTAAAGAAACCTTTTCAGCTTCCGAGCTACCAATGAACTTATGTAAATGATTACTAAATAGTTAAAAGAAGCACTTTGGTCTTTGCCTCAGATTTAGAGTCTTTTTGATATATTTTTCTTTCACTCACTTGCTTTATTTTTATTCTTGACCCACACCGTCGATTCTTGGGTACGGTTACTTTAAGGGTTTCCCAAATCTGACACATACATGTCTACGTATAATGAATAAACACATTTTAATTAAAGACAAAAAAAACAAAAAAGTACCCCTTAGAAATCCCCCATGACATTTACGCACAACGGACAGAGTACGAGTCTAAGTGCGTCCAAACTTTGAAACTGAGTCCATAAAGAATACCAACCGTTCCCCAGGACATGTTAATTCCTCCTAAATTTAGGGAGAAAACCCCTAAGTTAGCTACTGACTTAAGTAACCATTAGGGGCCGTTCACGTATTACGTAAGCAAATTTACTGAAAATTATTACCCCCCCCTCTTGTCAGCAAAAGTAAACAAAGCTCTCAAAAATAATAGTACATAAACGTATTAAGTTTTTGTAGGAATCTTCGAAAATGCATTCCGTTTTCAAGCATAGACAATGTGTGGGTAATATGTGTAAAAAAGTAAATAATTACTGTTGACGTAATCACCAAATAAAAAAAACCATAGACCGCCACTCCCTATAATGCTTACGTAACACTTGAACGGCCCCTTAAGGATATTTACCTCTAGACATGGGTGACAGATAGTGGTAGTGCACACTAGCGCCTCCCGCGGAACATCCAGTAAGCGTCACACTGTCAGGGTTGCCACCAAACATCATAATATTATCTTTTACCCATTCTAGCGCGAATGACTGGTCCTTTAACCCGTTGTTACCAGGCGCGACCTCATCTCCTGTACTTAGGAATCCTGTGAAATTAAAAGAATATATGACTGTTTTACGGCGTTTGTCTGTTCCTATAAGTAATTTCTTTAAAGGAAAATGCTCTTTACTGGATTAAACCACATTTAACGATCACAATTTACAACCCGTGACCATGCTGCAAATATTCTAATGTTCAGAACTGCATTATAATTATAAATGAAATTATTTTAAGATTCAAAATACAAGTAATATTCCTAAAAAACATGTGTAGCGGAAAACATATGCCATACATCAATAATTTATTAATATAAATACGCTATTTGAATTGAGCTGTATTCATCACAGTAAACAGAATTAGACAGACGGGCGAGATTTTTTTTATCTCATGTCTCCGCCGTCCATGGACACATACTGACAGGTTACGTTGTCGGCTTTTTAGCTACAATCACTGAAACAGTAATATTTAGTATTTTTCTATTAAATAAAATTTATTTAAAGACCGGCAACGCACTTGCGACCCCTCTGGCAATGTGAGTGTCTATGGGCGGTATCACTTAACAAAATCAAAATAAGTTTATTCAGTTTAGATGCGTCTTAGGGCATGCTTATGAAAGTCAAAAACGTATACAAAATTCGCGAAAGAGCAAGACTACGCCATCGTTCGCAAAACTACCAGGAGGCCTTGTTCTGAGAAGAACGGGCAAGAAACTCAGCAAGTTTTACCCTCCCTCTACATTACAATTATTTAAAGGAAAATGTCATAAACCACAACGTCATTAAAGTTGCATAAGAAAAAAAATATCTGGTCTGTGATTTACCACATTCATGAGCCTCCAGCCCGTTTTCCTCCTGTTCTATTTAAAAAAAACTGTATAAGAGGTGTTAAATAAGGGGCATGGTGTACTTACCAAGTGGTCCCAATCTATAATTAATGGTTACAATAACGACATCCCGGTCCATGAAGTTTTCAGGACCAAATAGCACACCTCCACCATACATGAAGGCTCCGCCGTGTATGAACACTACCACAGGTAAGTGAGCGCCAACATTTATTTTTGGTGTGTGCACGTTCAAAAATAAGCAGTTTTCATCGCCTGTAACAATAGATTATATGAAAAACTCATATAATTATATAGATAAGTACTAGCTGTTGCCCTTCACTTCATCTGCACAGGATTAAACAAATTCAAAAAATTCAAATAAAATACACACAAATCTTTATAAAGTGTAGCCTATGTGTTATTCTGATGTATAATCTATATGACTGCAAAGTTTCATTAAAATCCATTCAGTAGTTTTTACGTAACAAACATCCATCCATACCCACAAACTTTCGCGTTTATCATATTAGTAGGTTGATATATATGTAGTAGGTATATTACAATGTCGATACTTGGCCAGGTTTTGCGTGGTGGAAAAAGATCACCCTTGTTACATACAATACGGGATAATATTTTAAGCTTCTTACGATTCTGATGAAACTGGCCAAGATATTTACTAGACAGTTAATTTAGTTTTAACTATATGATACCCTTAAACTTAAGTTCGTTCAAAGGGCTGTAAACGTGTAAAATAGTGTTTGTTTGTTAGCTGCCTTTTGAACTGCATTCATGGAAACCTTTAACCGAAGGTTTAAAAAATTATCATGGTGCCTATTTTACAGTCTGTTTCATGATCATTTGTAAATCGAATAGACAAGTAAGTGATCAGCCTCCTGTGCCTGATACACGCCGTCGAATTTTTGAAAGCCCATTGGTGCACAGCCGGGGATCGAATCTACGACATCAGGGATGAGGATCGCACGCTGAAGCCACTAAGCCAACACTGCTCACTTAGGACTATTATAATACTAAGAATACTTAAACAGTACATTAGTAGTAAACAATATAATTATTGTTTATCATTTTATAAAGAATTGAACTTTGATCGTTTATGTAAAAATACAAGTGGTATATGTTAATTATGCGTAACTACAGGTAAATGATCCATAAATACCAGCAATTAGTAATAATAAATATATTTACTATTTTCTTTCCTCAACTGTATTGTATATAGAATAATATCGATTTTATTTGAGAATAATATAATTAAATGTTGAAACGAAACTACTAAAGGTAGCTAAATGTAAAAATTCAGAACTCACAAAAGAGTAATACGAACTCACATTAAATAAAGACAAATATTTTTTTTTGTTACAAAAACTCTGTACGGGTTGATGGCATTTATTTATGTAACTTCATTTCTTCAATCTCACTTAAAAATAATTAGGTGAATGGACCGTTTTTCTGAAATCTTCAAAGGAAAACAAAAGCAAATAATAATTTAACATAACGAATATAAACGTGAATTTATTATTTTTGTTAGAATGTCCCGAGAACAAAAATTAACTAAATTAATACATTTAGAGTAGACAAATAATAAAATTTTCAATCTATGAATTCCGAGGTAGTCAAACTATCCAGATACAAATTCGGAAATCACACAAAAATTACGCAAGCCGAATTGGATTTCGATTCCACAGAGGCCTTAATATGTTACTTGGCATGACTTTGAGGTTCTAAAAACTAACACAGACACAGCGAACGATCATAACCACTCTCAAATACATGCGCATACCTACAAAGTGAATAAAAGTAAAAGGTAAAAGTAAAAAATCATTTAATCACATAGGTAACATAATGTATACTTATGACATGTCAGTAAATAATTAATACATATTAATGCTTCTAATTTTACATTTACTGCCAGTTCTCAAATCAAGGGCGTAGAACGGGAGAGAAGAACTGGCAATAAACTCTCCGCCACTCTTTTTAATCGGCATTTTTTTGTTTTACAAAATGTTTGTAAGGAGCTGCAACCATTACACTATGTCCCATGTGACATTTAAAGTAATTAATAATAATAACATAAATTAAAAACAAAGATTTGTCCTCTATCAGCAGGAGGCATGGTGAAATAGGAGCACGCACTTACATTCTCGTGGGAACAACACGCAAACACATAGTTGCAATAATACATAGGCCTTTAAAGCGTGTTCTATTTTTTTGCGAGTGAACTGCGAGTACCCACGTCACTCCGTTCTCGCTTACTCATAGCGTGCCTGCCAAAACACGTCTGGACATGCAGCAGTACTCTTCGGTCAACCTGAGAGCAAAGTAATATTCCGTCGTATCTTCAGCAGCCAATTCATTAAAGAGCTAGCTTGCGCATCGAATGGGTCATCTATTAATCCATTTTCGAACCCATACTTTTCTTGGTCTTGCAAGTTCAGCTTTCAAAGCTTTTTCTTATACTCCTATCTCTTTTAATACTTCTTTCAGTACTTCTTCCAATTGCAAGCGTGCTTCTCGATGTTCCTCCAAACTTGCTGATCGACAGCTATTGACAACTGAATTTACTTAACAGAGCCACTAAACAAGAATTGGACACTACATCCACTACACACCTGCACTAGTCATCCTCAATTACTAATCATTTACACTCGCACTGTTTGAAACATGTACCATATACCACGGAATAATGGTTACCCACAACACAGGGACTCCCTTGTGTGGGGTCTAGCGATATATGAACTTTATCAAAATCCTTTTGTCATAAATAAAGTTTTTATTAATACTAAAAGATGGTATAATAATCCTTAGCCTTTGGTAATATTTATTTATTGATACTCACCAATAATTTTCTTATGGAAAGGTTCATATTGTAAACAGTCTGAGAGAGGACGAGTGGCGTCCCAGGTGCCTGTCCATGGCTTCATGGCCTGAGGTTCCTAAAAAGAACAGTAAGGTTTAATATGGAGGTTGTTCACCTGCTGTATTGGTATATGGTATTTTTCAGGACCTAGGATCCCAAATTCGCAAACCCTGGCGAGAACTATCCCAATATGGAGTGTGCATGGATTATCTACCCTTCTCATTTCATCTTTTTTCTTTTTTGAAGTGAAACTTCTTTTTTCTTCTTCGTAAAGAGAATTTACGAAATATTAGTATTTATATTTTATGCAAAATAATTTATTGAAATCTCAAATGACAAATTGTAAATTAAAATGCCACGTGTTTTTAATATCGAAGCAATAAATTAAAAATTAAATTTATAATTTGTATTAATTTTAGACACTTAATATTTTAATGACAATTAAATTCAGTAATCTCGTTCTCTTCCTATAACGCATACCCAGCGTTATGTTTTAACTCAAAACTTATGACATTAAACAAAAGTTTTGTTAATACTTCATCTTTAGTCTATCATCCATTATATGAATTGTAATCATTACCATGATTTTGAAAAGCTATCGCATAAATTTTCAATCTACAACCCGTAGCAATTAACAATGGTTTTTCCTTACACAACCAAAACCGATTCTAATAAAAACTTTTCAACCTAAAAATTATATTCACCCACACAATTAAAAGTCGAAGTCATTTATTTCAATTAGGCCTATTAAAAAGACACCTTTGAAAGTAAAAATTACAAGTTAAAAATAATTACTAGATTTTGATCATAGGAAGAAGAATGGGCAAGAAACTCGAGCTCTTTTAAAATAGTTTTTACAATATTTTGTATACATTGATTTGATAACTATGATTATATTGATAGTTTTTAATAATCGATGAGTAGAACAAGAATGTTCCGGAATTGTTGACTCATTTTATAAATTATTTGTTTGATCATTTTGACTCAATTAACCTTTAGATTTGTTTTAACAATTATATATATATTTTTTTCTTTATTCTATTTTAGTTATAGTTACATGTTATTTAAGTCTTTTTGTACTTTACCCTCTGTAGGTGTTTCTTTTTTATTGTTCCATATTAGGGTTGCCTGGAAGAAATCGCTAGTTAGCGATAAGGCCGCCCGTTAACTTATGTAACCTGATTTTTTATGTATGTTTTTGTATAAGGTAACGCAGTGTAAATAAATAAATGATTAAGAGATGTGCCTGTTATGCTGCATGACCACTACGCAAACAAAGATCAAGAGTCTTGCAGGTGTTTGAGTTCCTCCTTGTTTGTCTCTGTCCCATAAGCGGATTTATTGTTTAAAAAGTAAATCTAAACTGGTATTATAACTATTAGCTATAATTGCACAATTCAATCAAAATACAATATTTGTTAATCACGGTTTAATAGCTTTGCCGATACATTACTGACATTACCAATAAAATGGCAATAATATTAATTGGTGTGCAAATTAACATTAATATTTTCACTTGCGAAAGTTTTGGAGTATTACTTGTTGGTATAAGTATGTAAGAAAAACTCATGCATAACTTGATTCTTTTACGCAGTACACAAAATAATTCTCGTCAAAGTGTGTAGATGCGTAGAAGTCGTTCCAAAAAAGTATCGTGCACACTTTTCCCTACTATCCAAGAACTAGTTATGTTCCGAGACATAAATATTGTATTTAGATTTCCGTTGTACCATTTAAGTTATTTTTTCCGGTTTGGTATGGTGTGCAACGTAAAGAATGTGGACTTTATAACAACAAAATGAATAACAACAAAGAGGGATGGGGCGGATTGATGCGTCAGTTTTATGGATACCATTTCGTCACATTGTGAAATATATACATGATATTTCACAATTTGACGCAAGTCCTTTTTCTTCTAAGAGTTTTCACTTGTGTTTCCTTTAATGGTACAATGACAACTGTTAATGGTACACTTAGAAAGAAACATTGGTGCACCAGTTGAAGTGTTAAAGCTAATAGTCATGCCCATGGGCACGAGTATAAAAAAATAACAATAAAAAAATAACACCGATGTATATATGTTATAAAGACAATGGCGCCAAAAACAAAATTATTTTTTTCTTCAAAAGATAGGTTTAATTAATTTATGTTTTTTTCTTTTTTTTTCTTCAAAACTTCGATTCGAGACTTCGAGACTCTTGGGCCGTGGGGTTCAAGTGCATCTACCAGGCGCTATTTAAGGATTAAAGTTGGCGCCTGGTAGATAGTACCGGTGACCCCAGAGCTGGTGGCCTCGATCAACGAATAAGTATCGCAATACTCGCAATATTGCCACAGGGACCAAACTTTTTAAATTTGTTTTAATTTTATTTTTATTAATTTGTATTTATTTTTATTATTACTAAGTAGGTTAAGAAAATTAATGTTTTAGAACTAAACATATCTTAATCTTCTATTCGACTGGCTTCTTATGCTAAAAATTGTGGCTTAAAAGCACTTTTTGTTTTAATAAGTCTTACCCAATTTTCTTAGCTCTAGAATATTAATTATCACTTTATCAGGCGTAAATTATCATTCAATGTATTTGCAAGAAATTAATTACTGCACAATTAACTATGTTTGCTGACTTCATTTATTTTAAGTGAGTATTACTTTATAAACTATAAGCCTCAATTATCTAAATTATGTAAATTTGTAAACAGAGTGATAACATCTCAAAATATTAGTTGGTCGATTAAAACTGAGATTAATTCTTCTCTACCAACAAAATCATGGTATAGTACGTTTTTTGGATTTAAAAGCTTTTCAGAGCTATAAAACTGACTTACTTTTTTTCATTTATTATTATTTTACTTTACTTTACTTCATTTATTATTAATATTATTATTTTTATTATCATCTTTTTTTTCAAATAATTTAAACATGTACCACGTAATTTGTTTTTCTAGTTACCCACGACACAGGCCCTCCCTAGTGTGGGGACTAGCGATATAAGAAATTCATATGAATTCTGTCACAAACCCTTTTGTCATAAATAAAGTTTTTATTATTATTATTTATTCTCGCAAAGTCTTGGTTTTAAAATGAAATCAGCTTTAGTTTGTACATTGGAATATAATAAATTTCTTACCCGGAATCGGTATTTTCCAACTGGCGGTCTTGCATATGGGATACCCTTAAAACTTGCATAGGTACGACCATTAGTAGACTTTTTCCATGCCCCCTGAAGCAAACCATGATGGACTCGTACTATGGGATTCGGCCCTTGACCTAAAACTATCGCGACGAGCGACAAAAATATAAATAACTTTAAAACCGCCATCATGCGCGTGCGTCTCAACTGTTACTCCGCGCACAACTGTCCGCTATCAGTATAAATAATGTTAAACAAATGCCACTGTCGAATTTGCTGGTTGATGATTGTCTGTTTGTTTAAATAATTTTTTCGTAATTGACAGGTCTGAAAAAACACGCACAACGATGTTGATTTGACATTAATATTCATTGGATAATTAATTTATTATACGCACATTCAAATTCCGGATTGCAAAGATTGCTTTTGATGAATTAATTGATGATTATCATCTTAAGTATATTACGAAAAAATAAAAACATTAAATAGAAAACATACCAAGGGCTAAAACCAGTCTTTTTCTCAGATCCCAACAAAGACTTACTGAATGTTGGCTCCGACACTATCGACATCTTTATATGTTCGCAGAGTGAGTTCACAGTAGGGATATTGTGTATCTTCTAATATATAAAATTCTCGTGTAATGTTCGTTCCCATACTCCTCCGAAATGGATTCTTATATATTTTTTATGCATGTTTAGTAAGTCTAAGGATCGGCTACTATCTATCTTTCAAACCCTTAAGTGATAAGGGGCCACCCCAAATTTTTTTATAATATTTATTTTTTGTTTTTATTTTTTTATGATACAACATACAAAAATACAAACAACCCTAAATTTTCACCCCTCTACGATCAACCCCTATTTTTATTATTGTAGATAGTTATTTTTATTGAATTAAAAAAATGTTTCCTAGAAATAATATACATGGCAAAACAAACGTTTGGTACAGCTAGTATTTATATATATTTCTTCTTTTTTTCTACATTATCGTATCGGTTTAGTACCGTAAGGATTGTGTATGTATATTTAACTTTTTATGTTAAACTAAGAAAGAGGGTTTATCAGAAGTCTTAATAACTTACATAATATGTACGATGCCTAGACCAAAAAGAAATGCGATGGTGCCTAACTAACATAGTACTTTACAGTAAAAACATACCTTGCTATTGTGACTTATACAATGAAAGAAGGATTTTGATTACAGCTTGCATGAAAATTGTATAAATATATTTGCCAATTGTTCCATTTGCCTCGTACGAACACGAATTATCTCCGTAATTTGCATGTGTTTCGGGGTTTCACTAACTACCATACAATTTATGAAGATGTACACATTTTCCACCTTACTAAAGTGTGAGGAAATATTTTGAGAAACAAGAAGTCTTTGACTTTATTTAGCGGTAGCAATAATTTATTTTTTCTTTAAAATTAAGTTGTAGTTTGATTAATAATTGACTTATGTTCTCTGTTTTGTATATTTTGTTTAACAATGTAATCTGTTTTGGTATTGTATATTGTCTGTTTGTGTTAAGTGTTTTCTTTTATAATATGGATATGTTTAGCTGTAAGATTACGTAAAAATATATGAATAGAATAAAATGTTTTGTGTGTATGGTAGATTTATGTAATTTTTATCCATATTAATACATATATCTTTAAAAAAAAGCTTACTATAACATTTTTGAAGGTATACTTCTTCAGGCGCGTTATGAAAAGTTGATGAGAGTGAAATTTTACGATGCGCGCGCACCATGACACAGAATTATCAGTATGAAGTTGCCCACTAACGAATTCTTTTTAAACCAGCCGGGCGAGCGAGATGGGAATAAGACAATCTACAAGTAAAAATAAATAGAATATGCGTGAAGTTAGCAGCAATGCCAAGAGTTTTGATTGACCATAATTACCTTTGACATTTTGAATTACCTTATGACAACAAGTACCTTTTAAACAAATAAAGGAGTTTTAATTATTTTTTCAAATAAATTGCAATGCTTTTTCACAAAGACCTATTGTTACTTAGTTAAAAGTTTATGAAACATACCTAGTTATTAAATTGAATGAATAATTTAGTAAAATAATAAATAATTATTATTATTAATATTAATTAATAATTGAATAATATACTAAATATTAAATATTATTAAATTATTAACGTAAATATTTATTATTAATTATTTAATATTAAAATAAAAGCCAAAGAAGTATAACTTCTTATGCGCGTACATAAGTACACACACCCTTTTTTTTTTTCACGAGATACATGTCTTAAATCCCATACTTAGCAGGAAGGAGGGTTTATACTAGACAAAGTAGAATATGAAATGTTTTATTGAAGGATTTTCGGTAGTTATTTTAATTACATAATGAAGCATTATTGATTTAAATTTCAACATCAAATAGAAATAGATCGCTTGATGTTGAAAATTTAATAATCCTAATATCGTAAAATTCGTTCGTTTTCATTAAATCCGAGACTGTCCCAAAATGTCTTGTTCCCAAAATTAGCATAATGCGACATTTTCATGTTGTCAGGTGCCAAGATATCTAATAGATTAATTTCTGGTCCTGGAGTGACTGGGTTCCATTGGGAGTTATCTACAGTAGGAACTCTGAAAAAGAATTGTTTTGAAAAAATATGTACATTATTTTTACTTACGGTCGTTTCGAATAATATTCATGAATTTAGAAACATCTCAATTTTTTTTGAAGCTCTTTAGATTAGATTTGTGGAAACAAAGCCAGGACTTTTTGTTCATACATTCACAGGACCATTAACCACAATGCCACGGAATCGGACAAAAAATTCCAATTGTGCTTAAATTTTTATTTTATGGAAAAAAAATATTATGACCATTTAAACAAATATAGTATTATTAAAAGACTTACCCAGTCGTTGAAAACGAATAAATAATTTTAATTAAAGTCTGTATTATTTCAATATCGTCTGACCTATTAAGATCAAAGTTTGGCAGAACAAATATACGAAATAGATCGTCCGAGTGGCTCGCACCTTAAAACAAAGAAAGAAGGTATTTACATAAATTACTGGCATCATTGTAATATCAATGGGCTGCCATGCTGATATTTTTTAAATTTGCCGCGCTTTTTCAGTACCAACTTTCATTACCCAGACTCTAACCAATTCGACTTAGGGTCCTTTAAGAAAAGAGCGTACCAATTACTAAAAGGCTGGCAACGCACTCGCGAGCCCTCTGGCATGGAGTATCCATGGGCGGCGGTATCAATAAACATCAGGTGAGCCTCTTGCCCGTTTGCCTCCTGTTCTATAAAAAAATCATTTACATACGACCCCCCAAAAAGAAGTTATAGGGGGGCGAAAATGGACTAAACTGCTGCGAGAAAAAAATGGTACGGCTTTGAAGCTTTTCTGCTCGATTTGGCGGGCGACTTCGAGATTGTTGGCTTGTTTTGTATGTTTGAATGGAGGGACTGCTAGTCCATACAAAATTGATTAAGATGCATAGATTTTAATTTTCATTCCACAAAGATGTGTATAATTCTATTAGAGTGTCTTACCGTAATTGACATTAGTTTTTCCAATCATGTCGGAAAGGCTTTTTTCACCTCGAAAGCTGTATCGGTACATGTAAGCTTTCTGAGTACTTTTTAAGACTAATAATCGCGTAAATTCTCCTATATCTGCGTAGAAGTTACGATCGGTTAACGCCTGTAAAAAAATACATGTATAATAATGTACCGTGGAGTTAAAGTTCACAGGCGCTAACTAAAGATTTTAGTTGGCGTCTGGTAGATAGTACCGGTGACCCCAGAGCTGGTCCTTGCCACCCTGTATCGTAATACATATCGCAATCTCAGTTGTGGAACGACGGACGTCGAGGTGATACGAGTGGATATATAAAGATGCACTTACCTTTACTAATTGTTGGTATGTTTCTTGATTAACAGCTCGATTGTTTAAATAGAATTCCTTGATTTTCGAAGCCACCTCATCTCGGCGACGTTTAGGTAATGTATCATAGTAGTTGAAGATAATTGACGACAGTTCTGTCCACCTGGCTTCCAGTTCTGGTAGCAGAGTTGCATTTGATTGGAAAACTGTAAAAATACGTTAGCTGTTGAAGTATTTCATGGTGAAACAAAAGTTAAAGTTTACTTTTATATTTTTTTTGTTTTTGTTTTAAAGACAATTCACACCAATTGACCTAGTCCCATGCTAAGCTGGTGAAGCTTGTGTTATGGGTACTAGGCAACGGATATACATACATATTATAGATAGATAGACATATAAATACATATTTAAACACCTAAGACCTAAGCACAACACCAAATGCTCATCACATCGATGTTCGTCTCAGCCGGGGATCGAACCCGGGACCCATGGATTCGCCACTAGAACAATGAGTCGTCGAAATGTTTACCAAACTTAAATGTTCACAGCAAAGGTTAAGCTAAAGATTAGATCAACAAAAAAATCTATTAAAAGAAGCTACACAAAGTCAAAAATGATTGTAAAGAAGGTGGGTTGACTTGATAGAAATAGCATCAAAAGAGTGGCAGTCTATTGAAAAATATGAAATATAATTAAAATAAATAACAAAAGAAAAATAATAGGCATATGCCTATTACTATATTGTATTTCCATTGGTGTTAATAACTGGCAATACAAGTTTATAAGCTGGTAACAAATAAATAAATTTTCACATACAATCATTGTCTCCAACGTCGTAAGGTACTGTCACCCCCCTCACCTTTCTCACCCAACAATTTTTGAAGTGGAACTTCTTAAGGCGTATGAGGGTAAATTTTTTACGGATGAAACGTATTAATAATAATATTAGCGTCACGAAGATGGGCACCGTTTTTGTCGAAGAAAAGGCAGAGACCGATTGAGAGAAAGTGAGAAGGGCGCATAGAAATTCTATTTTTAAATTTAAAATTTCGTAAAGATTATAAAATATAAAATATTATTATTTTATACTTTATGCAAAATAATTAATTGAAATCTCAAATTACGAATTGTAAATTAAAATGCCACATGTTTTTACCATCGATGAAATAAGAAAAATATATTTGTATTAATTTTTGACACTTAATATTTTAATGACAGTTAAATTAATTAAATTCCTAACATATCTTCTATTTCCCTCCCTCAAGTCTCGGAAATCTAAAGTTTTAGATTTGTATATATATGAACAAGACTTT